TGGCCAGATTCTTGGATCCTCAGGTCTCCTAGAGATGGGTATGAAACACCCAACATGAGTGTGAGAACTAAATTTGGGCCCTCTGCAAGTGCTCTTAACTACTGATTCATCTCCATAGCCCCTGCTTCTGCTTCTTGATTCCTGAGTTTGCACCACCACACCAAGTTTTATGGGATGATGGCCAAACCCAGTTCTCTGTGCCAGGCAAGCACTCTGTTGAGTTACAACTCCAGCTCCAATTTCTCACTGTGTAGTGCAGATGCCCTGTAACTCCCCACATTCTTCCTGCCTCAGGCTCTTGAATGCTGAGATTTTAGAGGTGTGAGACATTATGCCTGGTACAAAAGCAAAGCTCCAACAAGGAGTCTAATTCCCCTCATTGTGTAAACCACAGACTTTGGTTTCAAATGATTGCAGGTGTCATAAAAAGTAAGTCAGTGGAAGAGGAACTGACAGGACATATCCGCTAAAGATCAGTATATGCCATGTGAGTTGAATAAGCCTAGTAGGAAAACAACCTCAACCACACCCCAAGACTACTCTCAGTTAAAGCAGATTAGGAGCTAGAAGTTTTAAAAAGAGTGGTGTGACGGTCACAACTGACCCTATTTCTCCTACCGTGTGTCTGGCTGCTGGGTACCTAGTTATTTTAGTGGGTCCCCTTCCCTCATAACAAGTAGCTTAGAAGACTGAGAACTGATGATTGAGAAGGAGGAGGAGGAAGAGGAGAGAGAAGAGGACTGCAAGATACTGAAGAAGGGGATTAGGATGCAGGTAAAGAGGATGAAGGTGATGAAACACAAGAGAAGAGGACGATGAAGGAGGTGGCAAATTAAAAAAAAACTATTCATTACAATCTTTAAAATTTCTTATTTATCCTTTGTTAAATTTTCTCCAATCCTTGGGAGTGAGTTGTAGTTATTTCTCCCCTGTCCCTCTTGTGTTCACTTGCCTATTTTTGAGATTCCTACCTCAACCACATTGTTTTCCACTTATATTTTTGAAAATATAAATGGAAAAAGAACCCCCATGTTTCTGCCCTAAGCTCATTTTTATCCATTTTTGTCCCAGACTGTGGAATCAACATCACCACTGTGCTCTGTAGGGGAAAGAAACCCTTCAGTTCCTTAGAAGACAGATTATAACTGGCTATGTCACGGTTTCCCGTGGGCACACTAATTCCAGTAGGCACACTAATGCCATTGAGAATATTGTTCTTTCTAGAACTTTCTTTTTGACAAAATAAAACATGGGCACCATTAAAATGAGTCCAAATGACAAGTATGGAGTTTGACAAGAAGTTGGCACAATCTGGAAACTACATATTCTTAACTTCAGCTGGTACGCCATGTGCCAGCAGATGGTACCATGAATGCTCTGTTACAGGTTGTTCATTTTCCCACTAACAGTAAAGAAGCTAAAACTACTGGGGGGGGGGTGCACACCTTTAATTCCAGCACTGGAGAGGTAGAGGCAGGTGGATCTCTGAGTTCAAGGCTAGCCTATTCTACACAGTCAGTTTCAGGGCAGCCAGGGCTACACAGAGAAACTCTATCTTGAAAAAACAAAAAAAAGTAAGCTGAAACTATATGCATAGCAAAATTTAGGCCTACAGATACTAAGCATACAGCCTCAAATGCCCTCATTCTTTTTTGCCCAATTCATAATCCTGTCTTTATCTCTGACCAATACCATTAATTTCCCACAAACTAAAATGGGTAAATGGCTTCAGAAAAACCAAATATCATGATGGATCCTGGCCAAATGGACATCTGTGACCTCTTACACTTTGGCTTTCACATATCTTCTATAAAAAAGGGATATATGTGCTCCTCATAGTTAAAAGACTAAAAGTATGTGATTTTCCCCTGGGTTCCTACATTGGAAAGAGCTTTATGTAGAACCAATAAATCACTCAACTGACATCAAAATGAAAGAAAATATCTTTCTGGATTCATGTGAATCAAGGCAAATGAGATTAGGACAACAGGAGGGCCAGCCCTACAAGTGACTTTAGATTACGAGGCCAGTTCTCAAGCCCCAGAGGCAGACAGTACCATGAAGTGGACAATCATTCCCCAAGGTTATGGATCAGGATCCATCTACATCCCTTTTCATAGTGTTCTTTATACAATTCTCTTAAAGATAAAAAATTAATTTGATCTCATTATTACCATTATTGTTGTTCTTATTATTATTATTATTTAGACTTTCAAGAGAGGGTTTTCTCTGTGCAGCCTTGGCTGTCCTGGATCTCACTCTGTAGATCAGACTGGCCTCAAACTCAGAGATCTGCCAGCGTCTGCCTTCAGAATACTGGGATTAAAGGCGTGCACCACGATGTTTGGATTATACTGTTTTTGATGTCTTTGTTTGTTTGGTTTGCTTTTCAATTGCTTTATAAATAAATTCCACATTATTTTTCCATGAAAATGGGATAAATTCTGCTGTTCAGAGGAACTTACATACTGAGTGGGAAAGCAATCTCCAATTAGAAGCCAGAAACACAAGAGCCACCAGCACACGGAAACAACACAAGGCACCCCACAAAGAGATCATTAGAGATTTCACAGGAAAATGCAAGGGAGAAGAAGACAGTAGGAATCGTTGTATGAATCTCATGGAATATTGTAGAAGTCAGGGCATAAGGCAAAATTCATCATGATGAGCCCATTGATTACAGAGTTCCTCAAGTGTAGCTCCCTAAGTTTTCCCCTGATTCTTCTCATGCTTTCCATCGCCATCCATGTCCTCTCCATTTCTACCCATCCCATCACAAATCTGCCTGTAGGAAGTTGGAAGCAAGTCAAGGAGCCTGTCCTCGTGTTTCCTGTCCCCTTGGTTGATGGTGGCCATCACTTCTCCCCAGAGGGCAGTCAGTCTTCTGTCCATTCTGCAGTGGTCACTCCACTTCTTCCTTTTCCTGGGCCTGTCCTTGCCATGTCCTCCTCTTCCTAATTCTCCCTGCAACACGTGCTCCCAGCAGACATGTCCCACTCACCCAGGCCCAATGCCAGCTTGCCATGCACAGGGCAGCCAGGAACTGGTGTCCAGATGTCCGTGATGACTGTACCCAAGACTGTGCTGTTGTGCAGCCTTATGCTGGGTATTTTAAATAAGGAAAGTTAGCAGCAGATGTTGCACAGGGTTTTACTCTTCCCTAACTTGACTAACGTCCTGAATCAACAAAGAAGAACATAATTACCTGTGGTCTTTACCCTCAATTTTATTAGGAGTCTCTATGGCAAGAAGAGTATCAGCACTATGGACAGACTTTTACCACATACAATAATCATTTACTTCAGTCCCATCTAATTCTCCACAAGAAAATAATTTTCAAACCATTTACAAACTCATCTGTTCTCTGGGCCCAACAGGCAATTACATGTTCTCCAAGAACATTGTCTTCCTATAAAGAATTTACTATTCCTCAACAGTCTGCACACACACACACACACACACACACACACACACACACACACACCAAATAATATAGTTTAGTCCATTGCTCAAATCCTGGTAGTCCTCCTGCCTCAGTCTCTTGAGTGATGGGAACAAACCATGTGCATCCAAACACCATAGCGTGTGAAGCTGAATATAACCCATGAAGTTACTTAGATACTTTCATGGGGTACGTGACATCAAAAATATTTTATGCTTTCCAATTAACTTCCCATATTCACTGTAGTGACTCCTTAGTCTGAATCAAGACTGTGAAAAGTTCATTAGGAGTTATGACATTCTTCACCACCTCTACTTACTTGCAGAATACAAGGGCAGTCTCACCTTTTAAGTCTTTTTAGAAGTCAAATTATCAAGAGATGGTTTTGTGGTTAAGAGTGATTACTGCTCTTGTAGTTCAATTTCTACCACCCAGTTCACAAACACCTGTAATTCTAGTTCTAGGGAATCTGACTCCCTCTTCTGTCATTCATGATATCCTCACGCATGTGGCATACATTCACAAAATTCATGTACACACACAAAAAAAGCCAAAAATAAATTTAAGGATGTCAGTGTCATGTAGATTAAGCTGTCCTTAAACTCATGTCACACCTCTTGTCTCAACACAGCCTCCTTAGTGCTGGGATTACAGATGTTGGCCACCATGAGCAGCTTTTAACATGATAAATATTGTTGGATTTATCCTATGTAAAACTCTGAGGTACTTGATAAATTATAAGCACAAATAAGAGATCCTGAAACCAAAACATCCAGAATTTCAACATACCTCACAAACAGAACCCAGAGAGAACAGATGTGACAAAGAGCCCAATTACAGGAGGAAATGGTCTCCATAAGTCCCTGGTCTGCGGTTTTGTCCTCAAGGTGTCTGAGGTGGGGAAGCCATAGGCTGGGAGTTCCCTCATAGCCCCAGAATTCCTTTCTGTAGTTTACAACCTGTGTCAGCTGTCCTGTCCTTCCATCTAGACACATGTCCTCACTCCCACTGCACCTCAGAATTCTGGAGAAAGCCACTCACAGTCACTGTGGTATCTCCCCACAAACCACGATGCTATGCACTCCACAGAGAGGAACAAAGTCTCAATCCCTTCAGGTTTTCCAGACACCAAGGATGGTGACTGCAGCACAGCATGCCACCCTCCTGCTGCTGTCAGGACTCCAGGCTTTGACCCAGACCAAGATGCAGAGTGGCTCTGGTGAGTGTGGATTGGAAGGGAAACAGCCTTTGCCTGGATAAGCCAGGGGAACTGGCCTGGGCAGCATCCCTGAAGACTGATCCTAACATAACCCATCCAGACCCTCCTGCCTCTGTTCTGTTCTCTGTGTCCTGATGTCCTCCCAGCTGGTGCACCTATAAAGTGTTTTCAGAGGAGGGTCCTGGTCTCACTGTGCAGCGCCCACAGGGTCACACTCGCTGAGCTATTCTGTAACCATGACCACATCTCTGAGGGGTCTTGGAGATCCCCAAATCTTCGCTGTTAGCTATGTGGACAACACGCAAATCCTGCACTTCGACGGTGAGGCTGATACTAAAGTGGAGCCACGTGTGCCATGGGCGAAGCAGATGGGGCGCGATTATTGGAAGTTGGAGAGAGAGAGTCTGGAGTATTATGCACATGCAGCCCTAGAAAATTTGCGATTTGCAATTCAGATCTATAACCAGAGCGATGACGGTGAGTGACCCCTTACATGGCCCTCAAAGCAGCCTGAGTCAGCACGGGACCTAGGTCCTAGGTTTGGTCCAAGGCTAATGGGCCAGCAGAGATCCTGGACCCAAGAGAGCACTCACTGTTTTCTGATTCGGTTTAGGTGAAAATTCTTTGGGTGGGCAGGGCGCTATAGACCTGGCTAACTTTGGGGTGTGGCTGCAGGCTCTCATACCTTCCAGTGTTTCATTGGTTGTGACATGGGTCCAGACCGACGCCTCCTCCGTGGGCACTATAGACATGCCTTTGATGGTCACGATTACATCAGCCTGAACGAGGACCTGAGAACTTGGACTGTGGCAGACAAGACAGCTCAGATTGCCCAGCGACAGTGGGAGGAAAAATATGTGGCAGAGGACATAGGCATCTTCTTGGGGGGCCGGTGTCTTCCTTGGCTACTCTGGCACCTGGACCTAGGGAAGGAGATTCTCCAGCGCTCAGGTAATAGAGGCTGAAAAGCAATTGCTCCATCTGCACTCAGAGTAGGAAGCCTGCCTCCATGAAGGGAGGAAAACAGTACCAGCTGAACTGTAGTTGCTTTCTCTTGTATCCAGAGGGGAAACAGGGTTCCTGGTTTTCCTGCAAGAGATTTCAGAGAGTGACTCTCCAAGAGCTCAACCTTCTCTCAGGATAGTTTATGCTTTCTGGGTATGATAGGAAAGAAAATCTCTAAAATAACCAACAGAACCTCATTCGGTCTGCGGTTCTTAGTGAAACATGGCCTCCCAGAAGCTGAGTTCTCTGCCTACACCCAATGTCTTTGGAGGTCTGACTCAAAGTCTCTCATCCCTACACCCAAGGCAGGACCAGAAATCCTCTTTTCTTGATGGGAAACTTGAGAATAATCCTTTTCCAAGGAATAAAATATACTAGTGCCTGAGTGTAGACAACTTATGTGGGGATTTACACCCCCTACACACGTATCTTGATTCTACTGTTCATTGCCAGGATGGGCACATGAATGCTGCTTAAGTCCCCAGAAATATGCTTGAATTTTACAACTTCTCTCCTCAGACCCTCCAAAGGCACATGTGACCCGTCACCCTAGACCTGAAGGTAATGTCACCTTGAAGTGCTGGGCCCTTGGATTCTACCCAGCTGAGATCACCCTGACCTGGCAGAGGGATGGGAAAGACCAGACCCTGGACATGGAGATGATGGACACGAGGCCTGCAGGAGATGGAAACTTCCAGAAGTGGGCAGCTGTGGTGTTGCCTCCTGGGGAGGAGCAGAGATACACATGCCATGTGCACCATGAGGGGCTGCCTGAGCCCCTCACCCTGAGATGGGGTAAGGAGGGATGTGAAGACAGAGCCTGTTGTCAAGGCAACAGGTGACCTTCTGGAAATCCTAAGTAGGATCAGTGCTGAACTGTGGATTAGGGACCCTCAACTCTTTTCTCTTCCCAGAGCCATCTCCATGGCCAACAATTGGAATGACTGTTGGTGTGGTTCTCCTTGGAGCTGTGGTTGCTGGAGCTGTGGCTGCCATTGTGATGAGGAGGAGGAAAAGTGCAGGTAAGGAAGGGATTGGTGTCTAAGGGTTTTCTATAGAGTTGAAGCCCTAGATGAAAAAGTGTTCATCTTCTGTTTTGTTACTGTGACACACACCTGTGTATGAGTTCTTACCTAACCTGGGACTCAGTGTACAAGTAGTTTTGTTTCTTTGCTTGTTTGTGTTTAAAAGAAGGTTTTTTTACGTGGCCCTGGCTGTCCTAGAACCTACTATGTAAGTTAGGTTGGCATCAAATGCAGAGAATCCTGCATTTCAAAGGCCAGGATTAAAGTTGTATGTCACCATGCCCAGTTGTGCTATCACTTTCTAAAGTCCAGGGCAATGGGGGTAGTCTAGGACATCATTATCCTGGATCTCCCTCAGTCTTTTTCTTTCCCCCATGTAGTTACTCAGATAACATCTCCAGGAATCTACTTCCATCACTGTATTACAAACTTTTTCCATCTTCTACCAGCTCTTGAACTCTCCTTACACATTAAAGGAATACAGAGTATAGAAAGGAAACAGATAGCAAGCCCGCATCATACCCCATTTCCCAAACATTCCTGCAGCTGGCACCACAGGAGTCCTCAGCTCCACCAGTTGAGTGACCTCATGCTGGGCCTTCACGAAGCCCATGGAGATGAGGAAAACCTGGAACTGCACATGTGAATCTGACAAGTGTGACACTGGCACATCCAGTTCTATGAGTAGCAGGAAAACTGCCCCACAGAGACACCAGCTCCAGGTGTGGGTGATTCCTGTGCTCACTGGATCTTGTGGGACCTGATGCTGATGGGCTTCTCAGTTCTGTTCTTAGCTGTGAAGACTCAAATTTGATTTATTGACTTTGTCCCAAAACAAAATAAGCATCAGCCTCCAATATCACATACTAAAGTCATTTGCTTTGAAATTATAAGAATTTGGAATCCATTATTTATAATTGAAAGTAAGAAATTAGCCTAGGAAATATTCAGTTAGCAGCCAGTCAGAGACTCTGTGTAATCGCTTCCTGTATTTTCTATTGGAGGCTACACCTCAGGGGAGAGAAAACACTATGTATCTTTCAGCATTGCAGCTCAGAGATTATAATGTATATTCTCCCCATTCATTCTCAACTCCTCCCACAAATTGAATGCCCACATAAAGTCCTTTTCTAAAGAGGGAGACTTTCTCAGTCTCACTGGGTCCCACTGGACCAGTTTCTACCCACCCACTAGGGCCCTGAAGATGCTATGAAGTAACCACTCAGAGACTTAATATATATATATTTATAATTTTTTAGCCAATGACTTAGGCTTCTTGCTGGATGGCTCTGTGTTAAGTATTAACCCACTTCAATTAATCTGTGTGTCACCAAATAGCATTGGCTCACCAGTGATGCCTGGGTCATTTGAGTCTCAGGTGACTACATAGCATCCCTTCTCTTTGTCTTTCTTCTCCCTGCCTCTGTGTTCAGAATTTCTCCTATCCCCAGGTAAAGTCTGCCTGTATGTATGCTGAAATAGCTTTATTAATCAACCAAAAAGAGAAACATGTAGTCACAGCATGCAAAAGGATATCCCCCATCACTTTTCTATCATGGATGCTATTCTCATCGCTAACATCAGCGGCTATAAATCTTGTACCAAAATACTCAGGACTGTTTGCAGATTCCTCATTTAGATGCTCAGTATTTAGTCCAGGACTCACATTTCCTTTTTCTGTTTCTCTGTTAACAGCATCTCACACTGTATCCCGCCCTGGCTTGGAACTCACTATGTAGCTGTGATGGCTGAGCCTCATTGTCAACTTGACTGGACTTAGAATCTCCTGGGAGATTCAGTTCTGGTCACATCTGTAAGAGTGTTTCCAGAGATTAATTGAGGATGGAAGACCCACCCTCAGGCCCAAGGACAAACGGAAGAGGAAAATTTTTTTCCTAACACCATTTGTTGAATGAGTTTGTCTTTATTCCCCCAGTATATATTTTAGGCATTGTGGTTGAAAATAAAATAAATTCTTGTAAGGATATTTTTGGTGATTTTTAGAGCCAAGGAATGCCACAATAATCACACCATGCAACAGAGGTCACACAGGGATTTGTTCTGAGTGAGGAGGAGAGGGGAAAGAAGGAGAGAAACTGAGGGAGGGAGGAGTTGATGGCTTGAACTTCATGGGGGTGTAGAGCAGGATCACATGGTACCACGGCACAGTGGAAATATGTTGCATTGTGATGACAGGGATGCTGGCTCTATGTCCTTGATGACTGGGTGGGGGATGAAGGAGAACCTGGTTCTGGAATGTGGGTGGTTCTAACACTGCGTCTATAGATTATAACGGAGTCCTCTGTTCGATTCCATTGGTCTGTATCTATTTCTGTGCCAGTACCATGCTTTTTACTTCTTCTTTTTAAAAACCATGTCTCTGTAGTAGAATTTGAGATCAGGATTTTATCACTTCTGGTATTGCTCTTCCCGCTAAGATCTACTTTGGCTATTAAGGGACTTTTTTTCTGCTTCCATATAAATTTAGACTTTTTTCTAGTTCTTTAAAGAATGTCATTTGGAATTGCAGTGAATTTCTAGATTTATTTCAGGACTATAGCCATATTTCAATATTACTTTTGCCTTTTCATTAGCATAGATGGCATTTCTATATCTTCTAGTGTCTTATATGTTGTTTGGTTGGTAGGTAGGTTGGTTGGTTGGTTAGTTTTGGTTTTCGAGACAAGCTCTCACTATGTTAACCAGGTTGGCCCCTAAGTTGCAGCAATGCTCCTTCTTCTGCCAGCTGATCATTGGATTGCAGATGTAAGTCATCATGCCCAGCCTTATTTGGTGCTTTAAAGCTTTATTGTAGGTATCATTAGCCTCATCATGAAAATTCCTAGGTACTTAATTGTTTTATTTTGATTTTGAAGCAATCATGTATGGGAATTTTTTACAGATATTTCTCACCATGTTTCTTGTTGATGTATTAAAAAGCTGCTGACTTTTCAGTGGGTCTTTATAGCCTGCTACTTTGCTGAAATTATGATAGATTTCAAATACACTTACAAATAAAGGTTCTTTAACTTCATGCTTACGTCTGGTTTCCTTTTTCTTTCTGTTGATTTATTGCTCTTAAGACATCAAGACCCTTTGTCTCATCTTAATTTTAGAGAAAATTCTTCTTCTCCCATTTAGTATGATGCTGGATAAAATTTTCCTATATATAGCATTGATTATGTTGAAGTACATTCCTTTTATCCCTAGTTTCTTCGGGGTTTAAATTTATCCTAAAATATATTGAACTTTGTCAAAGACCTTGTGACATATGTCCTTCAATCTGTTTATGTGCCATGTCATAGTTATTGACCGAGTACATTGAGCCATCTTTGCATTCTTGGAATGATGCCAATTTGGTCGTGGTAAATGACATTTTCATGTTGTGGACTTTTACTTGCAAGTATTGTATTGAAAATGTTCACATCCAGTTCATGTGGAAATTGGTCTATAATTTTCTGTTTTGTGGCTTTACCCAGTTTTGATATCAGCATAATGGTCATCTTGAAAAAAATGCTTTTGGTAGCTTTGTTTCCCTTTCTGTTTTATGAGATGATTTGAGATACATTGATGTTAGTACATCTTTAGATGGAGATTCCAACAGTGAGTCTTTATGTTCTTGTATTTTTACATGGTTCTTATTTTTAGCATTATTGGGTGTGGAATTGTCCAACAGCTAGCAGTTACATTTATACTAGATTTGGAGAATGGTGGGAAATGAAGACATCAATTCTTAAAAACAAAACAAACAAAAAATCAAAAAACTCTACTTCTTCTACAGACAAACTTCACTAAAGAGCCAGAAGTTAATCAGTTGCACTAGGTTGGCTGGCACTGAGTCTGAGGGAGCCACGTGTCTATCTCCACAGTGCTGGGACTACAAGCCATACCTCATGGGCTCTGGAGGTGGAACCCAGAATCTCATGCTTGCAAGATCAGCACATTACCAATTCCCAGCCCCTTAGCAAACAACAGAGTCTCAGTATGTAGCACTTCCTCTCCTACAACCCACTGTATAGACCAGGCTGCCCTGGAACTCACAGAGATCCTCTGCCTCTATCTTCTGAGGCTGGGACTAAAGGTGTGAGCCATCACAGCCAGGATATAGTATACAACTATGAACAGAAATGTATTAGGTTACCTTTAGGACTCACTCAATTTGTAAACTTTGACACCTTTACCGAACTGAATTTCTAAGTCCTTTGCCTCTTGAATCCTCATTATGCTCTGTGCCCCCATCTCTCCTCCCTCCCTTCCTTCTTCCTTCAATTCCTTCTTTCCCTCATCCTTTCCTTTTGTGCATTTTTGAGGCCTGAAGATTGAAACGAGGACTTGGCACATACTAGACATGAACTTTGCCACTGAACTATATCACTAGCTTATTTTTTCTATTTCCTTTCTTATTGTTTTATTTAAGTTTCAGACAATTCTCATTATATAGTGAAGGTTGAACTAGAGCCCCCTATATTAGCTTTGAACTTGTCTCAGTCTCCTGGGGACTGGGATTACAGGTATGTACCATCACATCAATTATGGATTATATATGCTTACACATGAAGGTGACATCCTGATAGCATAAAGGGAAAACTTAGGAAGCCAGCCATACTAGTACATATCAGTAATCCCACCTACCAGAATGGCTGAAGTTGGGAGATTATAAATTTGAGGCCAACTAGGCCACTTAGTGAGACTGTGTCAAAAAGTAAAGAGAGTTAGGGATGTGGCTCAGTAGTAGAGCACTTCCTGTCACAGATCTGGCCCTATATTTAATCTTCAGTATAAAGGAACCTCAAAGGAAGGCCAGCAGGATTTCTTAGCAGGTGAGGGTGTTTGTTCTGAAGGAAACCCTGATGACCCCCACACACACACAAACCCAGACAAACCCAGGTGTGTTGTCTTACATCTGTAATCCCAGCTTCCCATGGTGAGACGAGAGACACACAGAAGACTCTCCTGGCAGCTCACAGGTCGGCTGTGCTGGAGCACACACAACAGTGCAAAGAAAGGAGAGACTTCTTGACAATGTGGGAGGAGGGAAGTTAGAAGACCTCTGAGGGAGAATCCTCCCTTCACAGGAAGGAGCTCGCTGGAACATCTCCCTGGTTATGTGTCCACCAGAGAGTACTTCAACCAGATACTCATTTTCAGACCTGTAGGAGACAGTATCTGAAGCTTTCTCTCATAAGACAGTAACAGGCAAAAGGTGCAATCATACACCCAGGAGAAAGAAGAACACCCAAGTCTCCTGTTGAGAGATTTACACCAGTTTTCAGAGCCCTGGTGTGTTAGATACTTGGAGCACAGACTGTAGAAACCTCACTTCTGCTCTGGTCTGAATTCCTTCTTGATATAAATATACAAGCCTAGAACATGCAGTTGGCTGAGATGCTCTATGTCTAAGAATTGTAAGTAGTTGCACAATTCTTTGAAAAATACTCTAGGAAACAGAAAGAAATACAAAATCACTGAATCTTGTCTCATATATAGACTCTTTGCAGACACAAAGGAATAACTCTTACTTCTTAAGTAGAGTTGTTGTCATTGTTGTTTGTAACAGGGTTCAGAGTAGCCATGTGTTCTTTGAACTCTTTGTATATTCAATGGTGACCTGGAACTTCTAATTTTCTTGGTTCTATTTTTTAAAAATACACCTTAAATGTTCATTTAGTTTTTATTCTTGTGTGTGTGTGATCATGTTCACATGTCTGCAAGTGCCCTTGATGACCAGATTCTTGGATCCTCAAGTTCCCTAGAGATGGTTATGAGACACACAGCATGGGTGTGGGAGCTACATTTGTGTCCTCTGCAAGTACTATTAACTACTGAATCTTTTATGCAACCCCTGCTTCTTCTTTTGACTGTTGAGTGTGAACCATCACAAGAAGTTTTATGGTATGATGTCCAAACCCATTCCTCTGTGCCAGGCAAGCACACTGCTGAGTTACAACTCCAGCTCCAATTTCTTATTATTTATTTCAGCTGGCATGAAACTTCCACAGTGTTCCTGCTTCAGGCTCCTGAATACTGACATTAGAGGTGTGAGACACTGTGCCTGGTACAAAAGCAAAATTCTAACAAAGAGTCCAATTCCCCTTGTTGTGTGAACCACAGACTTTGCTTTCAAACATTTACAGGTGTCATCAAAAGTAGGATAGTGGAAGAGTAACTGACTTGCCTTTAAATGGCAGGACCTACCCCCTAAAGATCAGTAAATACCATCTGTAGCTTAAGCTGGCTTCAAACTCATGTCACAATTCTTGTCTTAGCACAGCCTCCTTATTAATGGGATTGTAGATGTTGGTCACCGTGACCAGTTTTTAACACAACAAATGTTGTTGGAATTAACCTACAAAAACCTTTGAAGTTCTTAATGTATAAGCACAAACACAAAATCCTGAAAGCAAAGCATTCAGAATTTCAATGTACCTCCTGAACAGGACTCAGAAAAGATGTGACAAACAGCACAATTACAGGAGGAAATGCTCTCCATAAGTCCCTGGTCTAAGGTTTTGTCCTCAAGGTGTCTGAGGTGGGGACGCCATAGGTTGGGAGTTCCCTCATCACCCCAGAATTCCTTTCTGTAGTTTACAACCCGTGTCAGCTGTCCTGTCCTTCCATCTAGACACATGTTCTCACTCCCACTGCACCTCAGAATTCTGGAGAAAGCCACTCACACTCACTGTGGTATCTCCCAAGGAACCACAATGCTATAAACTACACAGAGAGGAACAAAGTCTCAATGCCTCCAAGTTTTCCAGACACCAAGGATGGGGGCTGCAGCACAGCCTGCCACCCTCCTGCTGCTGTCACTACTCCAGGCTCTGACCTGGACCAAGACCCAGAGTGGCACTGGTGAGTGTGGATCAGGAGGGATACAGCCTTTGCTGGAAGAAGCCAGGGTGACTGGCCTGGGAAGAGTCCCTAAAGCCTTTCCTCATCACCCACCCAGACCCTCCTGGACCTTCTCCACCTGCACTCCTAGCCCTGTGCCCTGATCCTGTCCAGGCTCATGCTTGTTTCCAGGAGGAGGGTGGGAGTCTCACTGAGCACCGCCCCCAGGGTCACACTTGCTGAGCTATACTGTAACCACCACCACCACCACCGCGTCTCCAACCACGTCTCCAACGGGTCTCCAAGTCTTCATCGTTGGCTATGTGGACGACACTCAAATCCTGCGCTTCGACAGTGAGGCAGCTACCAAGATGGAGCCACGTGTGCCATGGGCAAAGCAGATGGGGCGAGATTATTGGAAGCGGGTAACAACAGGTCTGGAGAGTTATTCACACACTGCCCGAGAAAACCTGCGGTTCGCAATCCGGATCTATAACCAGAGTGATGACGGTGAGTGACCCCTACATTTCCCCAAGGACTGGCCCTAGTTGACCCCAACCCAGTTCCTGAGTTCTGCCTGAAGCTGCCCTGGCCGCAGAAAGCCAGGTCCCCAGAAAGGATCAGACAGAGACTCAGTTTCTGGTTCAATTTAGGTGGAAATTTTGTGGGTAGGCAGGCTCTTGTGGACCTGGCTGACATTGGGGATGGTGGCAGGTTCTCATACCTTCCAGTGTTTCATTGGTTGTGAAGTGGGTCCAGACCGACTCTTCCTCCGTGGGCACTATAGACATGCCTTTGATGGCCGTGATTACATCAGCCTGAACGAGGACATGAGAACTTGGACTGCGGCTGACAAGACAGCTCAGATCACCCAGCAACACTGGGAGGAAAAAAAGAAAGCAGAGTTCTTCAGAGGTTTGCTGGAGGGCCAGTGCGTTGCATGGCTACACAGGCATCTGGAGATGGGGAAGGACCGTCTACTGCGCTCAGGTAAGAAGAGCTGAGCAGCAAATCCCCCATCCACAGTCAACGTAGGGAGGAAAATGGCACCAGCTGAAATACTGCAGCTCTCTCTTGTATTCGGAGGGGAAGGAGGGCTCCGGGTTTTTCTGACCCCGTTTCAGAGAGTGACTCTCCAAGACCTCACCCTTCTCTCGGGACACTTTATGTTCTCTGGGGATGATAGGAAAGAAGATCCCGGAAACAACTAACAGAGCCCCATTTAGTTTGCAGCCCTTAGTGAACCATGACCTCCCGGAGGCTGAGTTCTCTGCCCACACCCAATGTCCTTGGAGGTCTGACTCAAGTGATGATGAGTCTCTCATCCCTCCACCCAAGGCGGGACCAGAAATCCTCTTTTCTTGGTGGGAAGCTTGGGAATCTTCCCTTTCCAAGGAATAGGTTATACTAGTGCCTGAGTAATAGACAACTTGTGTGGGATTTACACCCCCTCTACACACACATCTTGATTCTCCTGTGCTTTGCAAAGATAGTCACCTGAATTCCAATGAAGTCCCCAGAAAACGTTATAAAATGCTTGAATTTTCCAACTTCTCTCCTCAGACCCTCCAAAGGCCCATGTGACCCATCACCCTAGACCTGAAGGTGATGTCACCCTGAGGTGCTGGGCCTTTGGATTCTACCCAGCTGACATCACCCTGACCTGGCAGAGGGATGGGGAAGACCAGACTCAGGACATGGAGGTGATGGACACCAGGCCTGCAGGAGATGGAACCTTCCAGAAGTGGGCAGCTGTGGTGGTGCCTTCTGGAGAAGAGGAGAGATACACATGTCTTGTGAATCATGAGGGGCTGCCTGAGCCCATCACCCTGAGATGGGGTAAGAGGGGTGTGAAGACAGAGCCTGTTATTAAGGACACAGGTGACCTTCTGGAAATCCTAAGTAGGATCAGTGCTGAGCTGTGGACTAGGTCTCCTCAACTCTACTCTCTCTTCCCAGAGCCCCCTCATTGGCCCACAATTGGAATGACTGTTGGTGTGGTTCTCCTTGGAGTTGTGGTCACTGGAGCTGTGGCTGCCATTGTGATGATGAGGAAGAAAAGCACAGGTAAGGAAGGGATTGGTGTCTGAGGGTTTTAAATAGAGCTGAAGCCATAGATAGAGATGTCTTCATATCTTGTTTTGTTACTATGAGACACACCTATGCGTGAGTACTTACCTAAACCAGGACTCAGTGTGCTAACAGGGTTTTTCTGTTTGTTTGTTTGTTTTAGGACAAACTATCTTTACATAGCCTGGCTGTCCTAAAACCTACTATGTAAGCTAGGTTGGCCTCAAACTCAGAGATCCAGTTGCCTCTGCTTTTCAAAGGCCCAGATTAAAGTTGTTTGTCATCACACCCAGTTGTGCTATCACTTTCTTTTTTTGTTTTTTTTGTTTGTTTGTTTTGTTTTGTTTTATGAGACAGGGTTTCTCTGTATTGTTTTGGAGGCTGTCGGTCCAGCCTGGCCTCTGCTGGGATTAAAGGCATGCGCCACCACTGCCCGGCCCATTAAAGTCTTTTGTTTTTAAATGATAACAATTTGGATTCTGTTGTTTATGCCTAATAGTAAGAAAAGAGTCCAGGGAATTTTCAGATAGCAGTCAGTTAAAGACTGTGCAATTGCTTCCTGTATTTTCTATCTGAGGCCACACCTCAGGGGAGAGAAAATAATATGTATCTGTCAACATGACACCTCGGGACTGATAATGTACATTCTCCTTTTCTTTCTCAGCACTCCCCTCCCCCACAATGGAATACCCATATAAAACCCTTTTCCACTATGGATGATGTTCTCACCACTAATATCAATGGCCATAAATCTTGTTCCAAAATACTCAGGAGCATTTGTGGATCCCTCATTTAGATGCTCAGTATGTAGCCCAGGACTCACATTTCCTTGTTCTGTTTCTCTGTTAACAGCATCTCACACTGTATCCCACCCTGGCTTGGAACTCACTATGTAGCTGTGATGGCTGAGCCTCATTGTCAATTTGACTGGACTTAGAGTCTCCTGGGAGATTCAGTTCAGTAAGATGTTTCCTGATATTAAGGATGGAAGACCCACCCTGGGCCCAAGGTTAAAGACAAGAACAGCAGAAAGCCAGATCCCTATGCTCTACTTCCTGATCTGCGGACGTTTGAGGAACCCCAGCCACATGCCCCTGCTACCATCTACTCCACCATGCCTCATGCTGAAATTGCCTGTACCCTCTTAAGTCATGGAAAAGAATAAATCATTCTTCTTTTAAGTTGCCTCTGCTGGTTATTTTGTCACACAATGAAAAATTAATTATAAAAATCCATACTGGTTTTGAAATACCTGCAATCCTCTTTCCCTGTCCTAGAGTGTTACACTCACATATATGAGCCACCATTCCTGGCAGCAGGAATTTTCATGTTACCTGCCATGAGTGAGGCCGATGAATAGCCTACAGGCTCCTTGTCTACATCCTTACAGCTCCATGATCTTATGTTTTAGGAGATGATCTGAGATACATTGATGTTAGTTCATCTAAGGTATAGAGTTCAATAGTGAGTCCTTATGATCTTGTTTTTTAACATTGTTCTTATTTTTAGCATTATCGGGTGTGAAATTGCCCCACAGACATCAGTTACATTTATATTAATTTTGGAGAATGGTGGAAAATGAAGACATCAATGCTTCAAAAAAATACCTCTTTTCTAGACAGAGTTTACTAAGTAGCCAGAAGTTCACTAGTTGGACCAGGTTGACTGGCAGTGAGTCTGTGGGAGCCACCTGTCCATCTCCACAGTGCTGGGAATACATGGCCTCTAGGGGGTGGAACCCAGGAACTTGCTTGCAAGATCAGCACATTACCAATTCCCAGCCCCTTAGTAAACAACAGAGTCTCAGTATGTAGCTCTAGTTCTCCTACAACTCACTGTATAGACCAGGTTGCCCTTGAACTCACAGAGATCCTCTGCTTTTGTCTACTGAGTGCTGGGAATAAAGGTGTGAGCCACCACAGTCAGCTTGTAGTAAACAACTATTAACAGACATGTGTTAGGCTACTTTTAGGGTTCATTCAATTTGGAAACTTTGTCATCTTTACTGAATTAAATTTCCAAGTACTATACATCCTTTCCTTGCATTTCTTTTTTTAATTGTTTTTATTGGGCTACACATTTTCCCCACTCCCCTTCCTTCCTCCCCTTTCTTCTTCCACCCTTCCCCCTGCCCCCATGCTCCCAGTTTTCTCAGTAGATCTTGTCCTTTTCTCCTTGCCAGGCAGATCCATGTATGTCTTTAGAGTCCTCTGTGTTATCTAGGTTTTCTGGGGATGTCCACTGTAGGCTGGTTATCCGTTGCTTTATGAGTAGGTACATAATATAATTGAAATTCTGGGACTAGGTTACCTCACTCACTGTGGGTTTTTTCTAGTTCCCATCCATTTGCCTGCAAATTTGGAGATGTCATGGTTTTAGTGCAGAGCTCTCTGCTTCTTGAATTCTCATTATGCTCTGTGCCTCTATCTCTTTCTTCCTCCCGTTCTTCTCCCCTCCCTCTCCTTTTCTTTCCCTCCCCCTTCCTTCTTTCTTCCCTTCCTTTAATTTCCTTCTTTCCTACCTTCTTCCTTTTGGGACATTTTTTGAAGCCTGAGCATTGAAATCAGGCCTTTGCACATTCTAGGCATGTACTTTACCACTGAAGTAAATCACTAAATTATTCTTTTCTAATTCCCTCCATTTTGTTTTATTTATGGTTCAGAAAGACCTAACATACCCAACCTGAGCTAGAGCCTACCATATAGCAAAGATTAGTCTTCAATTTCGAATCTTTTGCCTCAGCCTCCTAGGGACTGTGATTACAGGTATGTACCATCACATCAATTATTTTTTACTACAATTATACTGATTATATTTACTTATACATGAAGGTGACATTGTGATAGCTTAAAGGGAAAAATTAGGAAGCCAGCCACATGGTTCACATCAGTAATCCCACCTACTAGACAGGCTGAAGTAGGGAGATTACAAATTTGAGGCCAACTAGGCAAGTTAGTAAAGAGAATTAGGGATGTGGCTCAGTGGTAGGAGACTTCCTGTCATAGATCTGACCCTATATTTAATCCTCAGTGTGAAGGAACCAAAAAGGAAGAAGTCCAGCAAGATTTCTTAGCAGGTGAGGGTGTTTGCTCTGAAGGAAACCCTGATGACCCCCTCCCACACACACAAACAGGTATGTTACCTTACATCTGCAATCCCAGCATCCCATGGGGAGACGAGAGACACACAGAAGACTCTCCTGGCAGCTCACAGGTCGGCTGTGCTGGAGCACACACAACAGTGCAAAGAAAGGAGAGACTTCTTGACAATGTGGGAGGAGGGAAGTTAGAAGACCTCTGAGGGAGGATCCTCCCTTCACAGGAAGGAGCTTGCTGGAACATCTCCCTGGTTATGTGTCCACCAGAGAGTACTTCAACCAGATACCTCAACCCTTGATGACCAGATTCTTGGATCCTCAGGTCTCCTAGAGATGGTTATGAATCACCCAACATGGGTGTGGGAACCAAATTTGGGTCCTCTGCACGTGCTCTTAGCTATTGAATCATTTCTATAGCCCCTGCTTTTTATTCTTGATTGCTGGGTTTGCACCTCCACACCAAGTTTTGTGGGATGATGTTGGAACCCAGGTCCTCTGTGCCAGGCAAGCACTCTGCTGAGTTACAACTCCTGCTCCAGTTTCTTACTGTGTAATGCAGTTGACCTGAAATTCCCCACAGTCTTCCTGCCTCGGGCAGACATTAGAGGTATGAGACACTAGGCCTGGAACAAAAGCAAAACTGTAACAATGTCTGATTAACCTGGTTGTAGGAAACACAGAGTTTGCTTTCAAACATTTACAGGTGTCATAAAAAGTAGGTGAGTGGAAAAGAAACTGACTTGCCTTTAAATGACAGGACAAAGACCAATATTTACCATGGGAATTTAATATGCCATGTAGGGAAACAATCTCAGTCACACCCCAAGACCACTCACAGTTAAGGAACTAGAAGTCTTATAGATAGTGGTGTGACTTTTTCCACTCTCTGCTAAGAGAAATTATGACTGCCACAACTGACCCTATTTCTCCTCCTGTGTTCTAGACTGCTGAGTAGCTAGTTAAGTTTTAGTAGGACCCCTTCCCTCATAATCAGTAACTTAGACAACCGAGGACTGATGAAGAAGGAGAATGGGAAGGAGGAGGAGGAGAAAGAGGATTGTAAGCCATTGAAGAAGGGTGTGAGGATGCAGGTGAAGACGACGAAGGTGATGGTGAAGACAAGAGAGGAGAGGACAATGAAGGAGGGGAGAAATTAAAAACAATTGATTCCAATCTTTAAAATTTTTTCCTTCTCTTTTTTTTATTTTCTCCAATCCCTGGGAGTGAGTTATAGTTATTTCTCCCCTGTCCCTCTTGTGTTCACACGCACATTTTTGAGATCCCTTTTCTCAACACCATGATTCTCAACTTACACTTTTTGAAAATGCCCTGAGCAAAATAAAATGGGGAAAGAATCCCCACATTTCTGGTCTAAGCTCATTTTTATCCCTTCTTGTCCCAGACCGTGGAATTAACATCACCACTGTGCTCTGTAGGGGGAAACCCTTCAGTTACTTAGAATACAGATTATAACTGGCTATGCCACAGTTTCCAGTGGGCCATTGAGAATATTTCTTTTTCTAGAACTTTTATTTTGGCAAAAGAGCATGGGCACTATTAAAATGTCTCCAAGTAACCAATATGGAGCTTGACAAGAAGTTGGTACAATCTGGAAACTACATATTCATAACTTCAAGTGGTACTCCATGTGCCAGAAAATGTTATCATGACTGCTTTTTTACAGGTCATCATTTTCCAACTATCATTGCTACAGTAAAGAAGCTAAAAATTCTGTGGGCAGGGGATGTACACCTTTAATCCCAGAACTCAACCAGACTGGCCTCAAACTCAGAGGTCTACCTGCCTCTGCCTCCTGAATGCTGGGATTAATGGCCTTTGCCACCATTGCCCAGAAAGATAAAACGTTAAAACATTGTTCTTGTCTTTTCTCTTTGTGGGTCATTCATTGATTCTCTACCCTGCACTCTCCAACACACACACACACACACACACACACACACACACACACACACACACCAGCCAATCTGGCCTGACCTTTCAAGTGCTGGGATTTCAGGTATCTGTCACTATATTGAGCTTTGGTCTGCATTTCTTAAAACACAAGATATATAGTCATGATAAATGAAGCCAAACCATTTCTTACTGAATTATTTTAGGAGTAATTGTTTTAATGGGTTTGGGAGATTTATTCTTTCCTGATTACTTAGTCATTTAGAATTTATTCTTTTCTCTGTTTGAAGATTTATTGCCATTTGACTATTGGTCTTATTTTCCTTTTGTAAGCTAACAACTTCTGCATGAAACCTCTAGGGACATTTCAGACAGGGGAAGCAAAAGAGTCCAGGGACTATCACTCAAAATACAGAACTCTGGCATGCTGATTTTTTGTTTGTGTGTTTGTATTGCTTTTTGAGAAAGGGTCTCTCTCTCTTAATATCTCTCTCTCTCTCTCTCTCTCTCTCTCTCTCTCTCTCTCTCTCTCTCATGTATTGGAGCTCACTATGTACTCAAACTCATGGTGTTCTGCCTGCCTCTGCCTTCAGAGTACTGGGATCAAAGACAGGCACCACCATACTTAACTTATACTGTTTTCATTGTCATTATTTGTTTTGCTTTTTAATTGCTTTATTTACTTACATTATTTTCCATGCAAATGAACAAAACTGTGCTGTTCACAGAAACTTATACTGTGTAGGAAGGCAATCTCCAATTAGAAACTAGAAACACAATACACACCCAGCACATGGAAACAACACGAGGATGGATCACCACCAAGAGATCAGTAAAGGCGTCTCAGGAAAATGCAAGGAAGAAGAAGACAGTAGGAATCACTCTATGAATCTTGATTACAGAGGTCCTCCCTAAGAGCACAGTTTCTCAAGTGTGTCTTCCATAAGTTTTCCCCTGATTCTTCTCACTCTCTCCATCATATCATCCATGTCCTCTCTATCTCCATCTATCTCATCACAAATCTGCCTGTAGGGAGTTAGGAGCAAGTCAAGGAGCCTGTCCTCCTGTTTCCCTTAGGCTGGCGGCCATCACCTCTTCCCAAAGGGCAGTCAGTCTGCTGTCCATTCTGGAGCGGCAGCTCCATTTCTTCCTTTTCCTGGGCCTGTCCCTTGACGTGTCATGTTCCACTGACTCAGGCCCAATGCCAGCCTGACATGTATAAGGCAGCTGGGAGCTGTGACCAGATGGTAGTAATAACTGTACCCAAGGCCGTGTCACTCTGTAGACATGTGCTGGTCATTTTAAATAAGGAAAGGTAGCAGCAGAGGTTGCACAGGGCTTTACTCTTCGCTTCCATAAGCTGCCTAGTGTCTGAATCAACAAAGGAGAACATAATTAATTACCTGTGGTATGCTGCCTCAGTTTTAATGGAAAAGAGTCTCTAGGGCAAGAAGACTGTCAGCACCCTGGACAGACTTTTGCCACATACCATCACCATCAACTTCAGTGCCACACAATGCTCCAAAAGAAAATCATTTTCAAACCATTCCAAACTCATCTGTTCTCTACCCAATAGACAATTACATGTTTTCCAAGCACACTGACTTCTTCTAAAAATCATTTGCTATTCCCAAACATCCTGCATTCTTTCCCTCTCACACACAAAAAAATTATATAGTTTAGGCCATTCCTCTAATCCTGGTAGTCCTCCTGCCTCAGCCTCTTGAGTGATGGAAATAAACCATGTGCATTCAAACACCATAGCGTGTGAAGCTGAATGGAACCCATGAAGTTACTTAGATACTTTCATGAAGTGAATGACATCAAAAATACTTTTATGCTTCTCAAATTTACTTGCCATTTTACTGTAGTGTGCTTGACAGTGAGTTAATCTGTTGACACCTTAGTCTGAATCAAGAACTGTGAAAAGTTCATTAGGAGCGAAGACATTCTTCAGCACCTCTGCTTACTTGTAGAATATAAGGGCACTCTCACTTTTTAAGTCAGTTTTTAAGTCAAAGTATCAAGGGAGTAAAGAGATGGTTTTGTGGTTAAGAGTACTTACTGCTCTTGTAGATGACACTAGTTCAGTTTCTAGCACCCAGCTCACAAACACCTGTAATTTCAGTTCTAGGGAAACTGACTCCCTCTTTTTTCATCCATGACACCCTCACACATGTGGCATTCTTGCCCACAAATTCACACACACACACACACACACACACACACGCATGCACGCACTCACACTTTTTTAATGTCAGTGTCTTGTAGGTTAAGCTGGGCTTAAACTCATGTGACACCTCTTCCTTGGCACAGCCTCCTAAATGCTGGGATTACAGATGTTGGTCACCGTGACCAGCTTTTAACACAGCAAATGTTGTTGGAATTAACCTACAAAAACCTTTGAAGCTCTTAATGTATAAGCACAAACACAAAATCCTGAAAGCAAAGCATTCAGAATTTCAATGTACCTCCTGAACAGGACTCAGAAAAGATGTGACAAAGAGCACAATTACAGGAGGAAATGCTCTCCATAAGTCCCTGGTTTGAGGTTTTGTCCTCAAGCTGTCTGAGGTGGGGACGCCATAGGTTGGGAGTTCCCTCATCACCCCAGAATTCCTTTCTGTAGTTTACAACCCGTGTCAGCTGACCTGTCCTTCCATCTAGACACATGTTCTCACTCCCACTGCACATCAGAATTCTGGAGAAAGCCACTCACAGTCACTGTGGTATCTCCCAAGGAACCACAATGCTATAAACTACACAGAGAGGAACAATGTCTCAATGCCTCCAAGTTTTCCAGACACCAAGGATGGGGGCTGCAGCACAACCTGCCACCCTCCTGCTGCTGTCACTACTCCAGGCTCTGATCCAGACCAAGACCCAGAGTGGCACTGGTGAGTGTGGATCAGGAGGGATACAGCCTTTGCTGGAAGAAGCCAGGGTGACTGGCCTGGGAAGAGTCCCTAAAGCCTTTCCTCATCACCCATCCAGACCCTCCTGGACCTTCTCCACCTGCCTCCCTAGCCCTGTGCCCTGATCCTGTCCAGGCCCATGCTTGTTTCCAGGAGGAGGGTGGGAGTCTCACTGAGCACCGCCCCCAGGGTCACACTTGCTGAGCTATTCCGTAACCACCACCACCACCACCGCGTCTCCAACCACGTCTCCAACGGGTCTCCAAGTCTTCATCGTTGGCTATGTGGACGACACTCAAATCCTGCGCTTCGACAGTGAGGCAGCTACCAAGATGGAGCCACGTGTGCCCTGGGCGAAGCAGATGGGGCGAGATTATTGGGAGCGGGAAACAACAGGTCTGGAGAGTTATTCACACACTGCCCGAGAAAACCTGCGATTCGCAATCCGGATCTATAACCAGAGTGATGACGGTGAGTGACCCCTACATGTCCCCAAGGACTGGCCCTAGTTGACCCCAACCCAGTTCCTGAGTTCTGCCTGAAGCTGCCCTGACCGCAGAGAGCCAGAACCCCAGAAAGGATCAGACAGAGACTCAGTTTCTGGTTCAATTTAAGTGGAAATTTTGTGGGTAGGTAGGCTCTTGTGGACCTGGCTGACATTGGGGATGGTGGCAGGTTCTCATACCTTCCAGTGTTTCATTGGTTGTGAAGCGGGTCCAGACCGACTCTTCCTCCGTGGGCACTATAGACATGCCTTTGATGGCGGTGATTACATCAGCCTTAACGAGGATCTGAGAACTTGGACTGTGGCAGACAACACAGCTCAGATCACCCAGCAAGAGTGGGAGACAAAAAAGGTAGCAGAGATCTGGAGGAACTTCTTGGAGGGAGAATGCATTGTTTGGCTACAAAGGCACCTGGAGCTAGGGAAGGAGATTCTGCAGCGCTCAGGTAAGAGGGGCTGAGAAGCAATTCCTCCATCTGCACTCAGAGTAGGAAGCCTGCCTCCAAGGAGGGAGGGACACAGTACCAGTTGAACTACAACAGCTCTCTCTTGAATCCAAAGGGTAAGAAGTGCTTCTGGTTTTCCTGAGAGTGTCTTCAGAGAGTGACTCTCCAAGAGCTCACCCTTCTCTCAAACAGTTTATGTTCTCTGGGGATGATAGGAAAGATGATTCCTAACATAACCAACAGAGCCCAGTTCAGTCTGCAGTCTCTAGTGAACCATGAACTCCCAAAGACTGAGTTCTCTGCCCACACTCAGTGTCTTTGGAGGTCTGACTCCAGTCTCTCATCCCTCCACCCAAGGCAGGACCAGAAATCCTCTTTTCATAGTTGGAAACTTGAGAATCTTGCTTTTCAAAGGAATAGATTATACTATGTGCCTGAGTGTAGACAACTTGTGTGGAATTTACATGACACTACACATGCATCTTTATTCTATTGTTCATTGCCAGGATAGACACATGAGTGCTGCTTAAGTCCCCAGAAAAAATTATGAAATGCTTGAATTTTGCAACTCCTCTCCTCAGACCCTCCACAGGCACATATAACCCATCATCCTAGACCTGAAGGTGATGTCACCCTGAAGTGCTGGGCCTTTGGATTTTACCCAGCTGAGATCACCCTGACCTGGCAGAGGGACGGGGAAGACCAGACCCAGGACATGGAGCTAGCAGATACCAGGCCTGCAGGGGATGGAACCTTCCAGAAGTGGACAGCTGTGGTGGTGCCTCCTGGGGAAAAGCAGAGATACACATGTCATGTGGATCATGAGGGTCTGCTTGAGCCCCTCAACCTGAGATGGGGTAAGGACGGACATGAAGACACAGTCTATTGTCATTCGGGTGACCTTCTGGAGACCCTAAGTAGGATCAGTGCTGATCTGTGGATTAGGGATCCTCAACTCTTTTCTCTTCCCAGAGCCATCTCCTTGGCCCACAATTGGAATGACTGTTGGTGTGGTTCTTCTTGGAGTTGTGATCACTGGAGTTGCGGCTGCCATTGTGATGATGAGGAAGAAAAATGCTGGTAGAGAAAAGAAATGTGTTGGGGGGTTTTCTATAGCATTGAAGCCGTAGATGGAAATGTGTTCATCCCCTGTTTTGTTACTATGAAACACACCTATGAGTGAGTACTTACCTAACCTTGGACTCAGTGTACTAGTAGTTGTTTGTTTGTTTTTGAGACAAGGTATCTTTACATAGCCTGGCTGTCCTTGAACCTACTATGTAGATCAGGTTGGCCTCAAACTCAGGGATCCAGCTGCCCTGGGAGGATTAAAGTGTGTGCTACCAGGCCAAGTTGTGTTATCATTTTTTAAAGTCCATGGCTATAGTGGTAGTCTAGAATGTCACTATCTTGGTTCTCTATCAGTCTTTTTCTTTCCCCGGAAGTTGTTACTCAGATAACATCTATAGAATCTACTTTCATCACCGTATTACTATCTTTTCCATCTTGTACCAGCTCTTGAACTCTCCTTACACATTAAGGGAAACCTAGGAAGTGTATAGAAAAGAAACAGACAGCCAGTCCCCCACCATTCTCCCTTTCCCAAACATTCCTGCAGCTGGCACCACAGGAGTCCTCAGCTCCACTAGTTGAGTGACCTCATGCTGGGCCTTCACTCAGCCCATAGAGATGGGGAAAAGCTGCAACCACACTTGTGAATTTCACAAGAGTGACATTGGCACATCCAGTTCTATGAGTAGCTGGTAAGCTGCCCACAGAGAGACCAGCTCCAGGTGTCGGTGATTCCTGTGCTCAATGGATCTTGTGGGACCTGATGTTGATGAGCTTCTCAGTTCTGTTCCTAGCTGTAAATGCTCAGATTTGGTTCATTGGCTTTTTCCAAAACAAAATAATCTCCAAACCTCCAATACCACATATCAAATTCCTTTGTTTTTAAGTGGTAATAATTTGGATTCCATTATTTATACCTAAAGATAAGAAATCAGCATAGAGAATTTTCATATAGTAGTCTGTCAGAGACTCTAAGTAATTATTTTCTGTATTTTCTATCTGAAGTCACATATAATGGGAGAGATACAATATGCATCTGTCACCATGACAACTCAGGACTGACAATATGTATTCTCCCTTTCTTTCTCACTCCCCCAAATTGAATGCCCATATAAAACCCTCTTCCATCATGGGTGATGTTCTCACCACTAACATCAATGGCCATAAATCTTGATCCAAAATACTCAGAACTGTTTGTAGATCCCTCGGTAGATGCTTAGTATGTAACCCAGGACTAACACTTCATTTTTCTGTTTCTCTGTTAACAGCATCTCACACTGTATCCCAGGCTGGCCTAGAACTCACTATGTAGCTGTGATGGATAAGCTTCATGGTCAACTTGACTGTATTTAGAATCTCCTAGGAGATTCAATTTTAGTCACATCTGTAAGAGTGCTTCCAGAGATTGAGGATGGAAGACCCACCCTGGGCCCAACGATAAAAGGAAGACCAGGAGAAAGCCAGAGAAGAGGATTCATATGCTCTACTTCCTGGTCCACATGCCGCTGCTGCCATCAACTCCACCATGCCTCATGCTGAGATTGTCTGTACCCTCCTAAGTCATGGAAAAGAATAAATCATTCTTCTTTTAAGTTGCCTCTGCTGGTTATTTTGTCACACAATGAAAAATTAATTATAAAAATCCATACTGGTTTTGAAATACCTGCAATCCTCTTTCCCTGTCCTAGAGTGTTACACTCACATATATGAGCCACCATTCCTGGCAGCAGGAATTTTCATGTTACCTGCCATAAGTGAGGCCGACGAATAGCCTACAGGTTCCTTGTCTACATCCTTACAGCTCCATGATCTTAGTAACAGCTGCCTCTGACTTACCTTGCTTTATTGCTCTTAAGACATCAAGAACTATACGAAACAGGAATAAAAAAATTGACACCCTTAATCACATCTTAATTTTAGAGGAAATGTTGTTTCTCCCATTTAGTATAATTCTGGATAGAATTTTGTATATATAACATTTATTATGTTGGAATACATTCCTTTTATCCCTAGTTTCTTCAGGGATTAAACTTATCATAAAAGATGTTGAACTTTGCCAAAGACCTTTTCTGCATACATTGAGGTGACCCTGTGACATCTGTCCTTGCATCTGTTTATGTGCCATGTCACAGGTATTGACTGAGTATGTTGAGCCATCCTTGCATCCCTGGAATGATGCAAATTTGGTCATGGTATATGACATTTTAATGTTGTAGACTTTTACTTGCAAGTATGTATTGAAAATGTTCACATCCATGTTCATTGTGGAAATTAGCCTATAAGTTTCTGTTTTGTGTCTTTACCCGGTTTTGCTATCAGGATAACGGTCATCTTAAAAATGCTTTTGTTAAAGCCAGGTGGTGATGAGGTATGCCTTTAATTCCAGCACTCCAGAGGCAGAGGAAGGTGGATCTCTTGTAGTTCAAGGGCAGAGAAACCCTGACTGAAGAAACAAACAAAACAAAAAATGCTCTTGGTAATGTTGTTTCCCTTTCTATTTTATGAGATGATTTGAGATACATTGAATTCATCTTTAGATGTAGAATTCAACAATGAGTCCATATGTTCTATTATTTTCATGTGGTTCTCATTTTTAGCATTATTGGGTGTGGATTTGTCCCACAGTCATCAGTTACATTTATACTAGATTTGGAGAATGGTGGGAAATGAAGACTTCAATTCTTCCCCGCTCCCCCCTCCAAAAATAAAACAAAAACTCTACCCCTATTCAAGACAGAGTTCACTATAGAGCCAGAAGGTCACCAGTTAGACCAAGTTGGCTGGCAGTGAGTCTGTGGGAGCCACCTGTCTATCTCCACAGTACTTTTGACTATGAGCCATATCACATGGGCCCTGGGTGTGGAATCCAGGATCCCAAGCTTGCAGAATCAGAACATTACCAATTCACAGCCCCTTATTAGACAACAGAGTCTCAGTATGTAACACCAGCTCTCCTACAACTCATTGTATAGACCAGGCTGCCCTTGAACCCACAGAGATTTCTGTCTCCTGAGTCCTGGGACTAAAGGTGTGAGCCATCAGAGTCAGCTTATAGTAAACAGCTATTAACAGACATGTATTAGGCGACTTTTAGGATTCATTTAATTTGGAGGTTTTGTTATCTTTACTGAACTGAATTTCTAAGTCCTTTGCATCTTGAATCCTCGTTATGCTCTGTGCCCCCATCTCTCCTTCCTCCCTTCCTTCTTCCTCCAATTCCTTCTTTCCCTCATCCTTTCCTTTTGTGCATTTTTTGAGGCCTGAGATTGAAAGTAGGACTTGGCACATGCTAGACATGAACTTTGCCACTGAACTACATCACTAGCTTATTTTTTCGATTTCCTTTCTTATTGTTTTATTTAAGTTTCAGACAATTCTCATTATATAGTGAAGGTTGAGCTAGAGCCCACTATATTAGCCTTGAACTTGCAATTTGTCTCAGCTCCTGGGGACTGGGATTACAGATATGTACCATCACATCAATTATGGATTATATTTGCTTAAACATGAAGGTGACATCCTGATAGCATAAAGGGGAAACTTAGGAAGCCAGCCATACTAGTACATATCAGTAATCCCACCTACCAGAGAGGTTGAAGTTGGGAAATTATAAATTTGAGGCCAACTAGGCCAGTTAGTGAGACTGTGTCAAAAAGTAAAGAGAGTTAGGGATGTGGTTCAGTGGTAGAGCACTTCCTGTCACAGATCTGGCCCTATATTTAATCCTCAGTATAAAGGAACCTAAAAGGAAGGCCAGCAGGATTTCTTAGCAGGTCAGGGTGTTTGTTCTGAAGGAAACCCTGATGACACCCCCCCACACACACACACAAACCCTGACAAACCCAGGTGTGTTGTCTTACATCTGCAATCCCAGCTTCCCATGGTGAGAGGAGAGACACACAGAAGACTCTCCTGGCAGCTCACAGGTCAGCTGTGCTGGAGCACACACAACAGTGCAAAGGAGAGAAGTTAGAAGACCTCTGAGGGAGGATCCTCCCTTCACAGGAAGGAGCTTGCTGGAACATCTCCCTGGTTATGTGTCCACCAGAGAGTACTTCAACCAGACTCTCATTTTCAAACCTGTAGGAGACAGTATCTGAAGCTTTCTCTCATAAGACAGTAACAGGCAAAAGGTGCAATCATACACTCAGGAGAAAGAAGAACACCCAAGTCTCCTGTTGAAAGATTTACACCACTTTTCAGAGCCCTGGTTCATTAGACCCTGAAGCACAGGCTGTAGATACCTCACTTCTGCTCTGGTGTCATCCCTTTAGATCACTAGAGGTCACACTGGTGCCTGATCTGTCTATAACCATCCTGGAGCCTTCATCCAGTGACTGATGGAAGCAGAGGCAAACACCCACAGTTAAATACTGAACTGAACCCAAGGAACCCAGTGACAGAGAGAGAGGAGCAATGAGCAAGTTGGCAAAGAATGGGCTGGCAAAACCAGCAGAAACAGCTGATCAGAACAGGGGAGAGCTCTTGGATCCCAGACCAACAGCTGGGAGGCCAGCATGGGCCTGATCCAGACCCCCTGAATGTGAGAGTCAGTGAGGAGGCCTGGGCAACCTATGGGGCCCTGGGCAGTGGATCAGTGTTTATCTCTGGAATACAAACAGACACCGTGTGTCCATAACACAAAGAGGGATGCTCTCTCAGCCTGGACTCTTAGGGGAGTGCCTGGACGCTGCCCGGAGTGAAATGACAGACTCTAGATATCCCCAGGTGGAAGGAAGTGGTGATAGGGTGGGAGGATGGGGGGATGGTGGAGGGGTCGCGGGAGGAAGGGAGGGAGAGGGAACTGGGATTGACCTGTAAAACAAGCTATTTAAAATTAAAATAATAAAAAAATACCCTGAGCAAAATAAAATGGGAAAATAATCTCCACCTTTCTCTTCTATGCTCATTTTTAATCCCTTCTTGTCACAGACTGTGGAATCAATATCATCACTGTGCTCTGTGGGGAGTAGAAACCCTTCAGTTTCTTAGAAGACAGATTGTAACTAGCTATGCCACAGCCTCCCAAGGGCACACTGAGCCCACTAGAAAGTCTGCTTATGCTATTGAGAATATTGCTCTTTCTAGACTTCCTTTTGGGCAAAAGAAAACATGTACACTACTAAAATTACTCGAAATGATGACTATGGAGCTTGACAAGAAGTTAGCATAATCTGGAAACTACATATTCTTAACTTCAGCTGGTACTCCATGTGCCAGCAGATGGTATCATGAGTGCTCTGTTACAGGTTGATCATTTTCCCACCAACATTGATACAGTAAATAAGCTAATACAGTCAGGCAGTGGTGGCACACACCGTTAATCCCAGAACTCAGAAGGCAGAGACAGGGGGATCTCTGAGTTTGGGGCCAGCCTGGTGTACCGAGCCAGTTCCAGGGCATCCAGGGCTAAACAAAGAAACCCTGTCTTGAAACAAGGACAAGAAAAAGAAGCCAAAACTACATGCACAGCAATTAGAATCCTGTTGATACTAAAAACATGCAGCCTCAAATGCCTTCATTATTTTTGTGTGTAATTCATAACTCTGTATTTATCTCTGACTAATATTACAATTTCCCACAGTCTAAAAAGGATGAATGGCTGCAAAAGATCCTGGCCAAATGGACTTCTTACACTTTGGCTTGCACATATCTTCTATAAAATGGAATACATGTGCTGCTCATAGTTAAGGACTAAAAAAGTATTTTATTTTCCCCGAGTTACTACATCAGAAAGAACTTTATGTAGAACCACTAAACCACTTAATTGACATCAAAAAGAAAGATTCATGGATTCATGGATTCATGTGAATCAAAGAAAATGAGATTAGAACAATTGGACAGTCAGCCCTACAAGTGACCTTAGATTCTAGGCCAATTCTCAAGCACCATAAAGTGGACAGCCATTGCCCACGGTCATGGATCAGGATCTGTCTACTCCCCTTTTCATAGTGTTCTTTTTAAAAGTCTTCCTACAGATAAGAAAATTTAATTTAATTATTACCATTATTATTGTTTTATTATTATTTAGATTTTCAAGAGAGGATTTCTCTGTGCAGCCTTGGCTGTCCTGGATCTGACTCTGTAGACCAGGCCGGCCTCAAACTCAGAGATCTTCCTGCTTCTGCCTTCAGAGTACTGGTATTAAAGGCATGTGCCACCACACTTAGATTATACTGTTTTTGTTGTCTTTATTTGGTTTGCTTTTCAATTGCTTTATAAATAAACTCTACATTATTTTTCTATGCAAATGGGATAAAATATAAGGCAAAATTCATCATGATGAGCATGTAGAATACAGAGGTCCTCCCTAAGAGCACAGTTTCTCAAGTGTAGCTCGCTAAGTTTTCCCCTGATTCTTCTCACCCTTTCCATCATATCATCCATGTCCTCTCTATATCCATCCATCCTATCACAAATCTGCCTGTAGGGAGTTAGGAGCAAGTCAAGGAGCCTGTCCTGTTGTTTCCCTTAGGCTGGTGGCCATCCGTCTCCCCAAAGGGCAGTCAGTCCTCTGTCCATTATGGAGCGGCTGCTCCATTTCTTCCTTTTCCTGGGCCTGTCCTTGCCATGTCCTCCTCTCTCCATTTCTTTCTGCAATACCTGCTGACAGCAGACATGTTCCACTCACCCAGGCCCAATGCTAGTCTGCCATGCACAGGGCAGCCAGGAGCTGGTGTCCAGATGTCAGTATGTCTGTACCCATGGCTGTGTCGCTCTGCAGCCTTATGCTGGGTATTTTAAAAAAGGAAAGTTAGCGGCAGATGTTGGGCAGCACTTTACTCTTCTCTCCCCTAAACTTCCTAATGTCCTGAATCACCAAAGGAGAACATAATTACCTGTGATCTTCTCCCTCAGTTTAATTAGGAGTCTCTATGGCAAGAAGGCTGTCAGCATCCTGGACAGACTTTTACCACATGCCTCTACTTTAGTCCATCCAATGCTCCAAAACAAAATAATATTCAAACCATTTACAATCTCATCTGTTCTCTGAGCCCAACAGGCAATTAAGTGCTCTCCAAGCACACTGACTTCCTATTTACTATTCCCCAGCATTCTGCATTTACACACACACACACACACACACACACACACACACACACACAATGTAGTTCAGTTTGTTCCTCAAATCCTGGAGCCTTCCTGCCTTAGCCTCTTGACTGGTGGAAGTAAGCCATGTGCCTCCAAGACTAACAAAAAACAATCATGTTTGAAGCTGGATAGAACACATGAAATTACTTAGATACCTCCATGAGGTCATGACATCAAAAATACCTTTACGATTCTCAGATACACTTCCCATATTCACTGTAGTGTGCTTGACAGTGAGTTAATCTGTTGACACCTTAGGCTGAATCAAGGCTGTGAAAAGCTCACTAGGAGTTAAGACATTCTTCACCACCTCTACTTACTTGCAGAATATAAGGGCAGTGTCACGTTTAAGTCTTTTTTTTAAGTCAAAAGTATCAAGGGACTAAAGAGATATCTCCCTGGTTAAGAGTGCATACTGCTTTTGTAGATGACCCCAGTTCAGTATCTAGTACCCATCTCACAAACGCCGGTAATTCCAGTTCTAGGGAATCTGACTCCCTCTTCTGTCACCCATGAAATCATCACACATGTGGCATACATTTGTACAAATTCTCTCTCTCTCTCTCTCTCTCTCTCTCTCTCTCTCTCTCTCACACACACACACACACACACACACACACACACAATCTTTTTTTTTCAATGTCAGTATCATGTAGATTAAGCTGGCCTTAAACTCATGTCATACCTCTTGCCTCAGCACAGCCTCCTAAATGCTGGGATTACAGATGTTGTCCACCATGAGCAGCTTTTAACAGGATAAATGTCATTGGATTTAACCTAGGTAAAACTCAGAGGAACCTGATAATGTATAAACACATATAAGAGATCCTGAAACCAAAACATTCAGAATTTCAGCTTACCTCCTGAACAGGACTCAGAGAGAACAGATGTGACAAAGAGCACAATTACAGGAGGAAGTGGTCTCCCTAAGCACCTGGTCTTCAAGGTGTCTGAGGTGGAGAAGCCATAAGTTGGGAATTCCCTCATATCCCCAGGATACCATTCTGTAGCCTTCAACCCGTGTCAGCTGTCCCGTCATTCTGTCTGGACAGACGTTCTCACTCCCACTGCACCTCAGAAATCTGGAGAAAGCCACTCACAGTTACTGTGGTGACTCCCCACAAACCACGATGCTATAAACCCCACAGAGAGGAACCAAGTCTCAATCACTCCGGGCTTCCCAGACACCAAGGATGGGGGCTGCAGCACAGCCTGCCACCCTCCTGCTGCTGTCACTACTCCAGGCTCTGACCCGGACTGAGAACCAGAGCCTAGTTGGTGAGTGTGGATCAGCAGGGAAACAGCCTTTGCTGGGAGAAGCCAGGGCGACCTGCCAAGGCAGAGTCCCAAAAGCATTTTCTCATCACCGACCCAGATCATCCTACCCCTTCTCCACCTAAGTCCCCAGCCCTAGGTGCTGATCCCCTCTAGGCGCCAGCACGTGCCCGGAGTCCAGGGAGAACGATAGGTGTCTCATTGTGCACTGTCTCCAGGCTCACACTCCATGAGGTACTTTGCAACCACCACCGCATCTGTAAAGGGTCTCCGAGATCCCCAAGTCTTCATTGTTGCCATTGTGGACGACACTCAATTCCTGCGCTTCAACAGTGAGGCAGCTACTAAGATGGAGCCCCTCGTGCCATGGGCGAAGCAGATGGGGGACAGTTATTGGGTGTTGGAGAGTGAGGGTCTGGAGCATTATGCACACACTGCCCAAGAAAACTTGAGATTTGCCATCCGGATCTATAACCAGAGCGACGATGGTGAGTGACCCCTACATGTCCCCACCGTCAGGCAAGTCACCCCGGGTCCCAGGTCACAGGTTCAGTCCTAGGCTGCAGGGGGATAGCAGAGACCCTGGATCTGAGAGATCATCGAACTGAGACACAGTGTCTAGTTCAGTTCAGGTGGAATTCATGTGGGTGGGCGGGGCCTTGCGCACCTGGCTGACTTGGGGGGCAGGTGCAGGCTCTCATACCTTCCAGGGTTTGGTTGGTTGTGACATGGGTCCGGATCGACGCTTCATCCGAGGGCACTATAGACATGCCTTTGATGTCCGCGATTACATCAGCCTGAACGAGGACCTGAGAACTTGGACTGTGGCCGACAACATAGCTCAGCTCACCCAGCGACAGTGGGAAGAAAAAAAAGTAGCAGAACACTGGAGGATCTTCTTAGAGGGCTGGTGCATTCGTTGGTTAGTCAGGCACCTGGAGCTAGGAAAGGAGATTCTGCGGCGCTCAGGTAAGAGGGGCTGAGAAGCAATTCCTCCATCTGCACTCAGATTGGGCACCTGCCTCCAAGGAGGGAGGAAATTGGCACCAGCTGAAATGCTGCAGTTGGCTCTTGTATCCAGAGGGGAAGGACGGCTCCTGGTTTTCCTGACCCCACTTCAGAGAGTGACACTCCAAGACCTCACCCTTCTCTAAGGACAGTTTAGGTTCTCTGGGGATGATAAGAAAGAAGATCCAGGAAACAACCAACAGAGCCCCCTTCAGTCTGCAGCCTGCAGTGAACCATGACTCCAGAGGCTGAGTTCCCTGCCCACACCCAATGTCTTTGGAGGTCTGACTCAAGTGATGATGAGTCTATCATCCCTTCACTCAAGGCAGGACCAGAAATCCTCTTTTCGTGGTGGGAAACATGGGAATTTTCCTTTTTGAAGAAATGGATTATATTAGTGCCTGAGTGCAGACAACTTGTGTGGGCTTTGCAAATACACCCCTATCTTGATTCCACTTAAGTCCCCAGAAAAAAAATATAAAATGCTTGAATTTTCCAACTTCTCTCCTCAGACCCTCCAAAGACACATGTAACCCATCACCCTAGACCTGAAGGTGATGTCACCCTGAGGTGCTGGGCCCTTGGATTCTACCCAGCTGAGATTACCCTGACCTGGCAGAGGGATGGGGAAGACCAGACCCAGGACATGGAACTTGTGGACACCAGGCCTGCAGGGGATGGAACCTTCCAGAAGTGGGCAGCGGTGGTTGTGATTTCTGGGGAGGAGCAGAGATACACATGTCATGTGGATCATGAGGGGCTGCCTGAGCCCCTTATCCTAAGATGGGGTAAGGAGGGGTGTGAGCACAGAGCCTGTTGTCAAGGAAACAGGTGACCTTCTGGAGCCCCTAAGTAGGATCAGTGCTGAGCTGTGGACTAGGTCTCCTCAACTCTACTCTCTCTTCCCAGAGCCACCTCCTTGGCCCACAATTGGAATGACTGTTGTTGTGGTTCTCCTTGGAGTTGTGGTCGCTGGAGCTGTGGCTGCCATTGTGATGAGGAGGAGGAAAAGTGCAGGTAAGGAAGGGATTGGTGTCTGAGGGTTTTCTATAGAGTTGAAGCTCTAGATGGAAATGTGTTCATCTCCTTTCTTGTTGCTATGAGACACACCTATGAGTGAGTGCTTACCTAACCTGTTGGGATTCAGTGTACTAGTAGTTTTGTTTGTTTGTTTTTAAGACAAGATATCTTTACATAGCCCTGACTGTCATGGAACCTACTATGTAGGCCAGGCTCTCCTCAAAGTCAAGGATCCAGCTGGCTCTGCCTCCCAAGTGCTAGGATTAGTTGTGTGTCACCATGCTATAACTTTCTAAAGTCCAGGGCAATGGGGGTAGTCTAGAAATCATTATCCTGGATCTCCCTAGGTCTTTCACTTTCCCCCATGTAGTTACTCAGATAACATCACCAGGAATCTACTTCCATCACTGTATTACCACCTTTTCCATCTTCTACCAGCTCTTGAACTCTCCTTACACATAGATAGAGTATAGAAAGGAAACAGACAGCAAGTCCCCATCACTCTCCCTTTCCCAAACATTCCTGCAGCCAGCACCACAGGAGTCCTCAGCTCCACCAGTTGAGTGACCTCATTCTGGGCCTTCACGAAGCCCATGGAGATGGGAAAGCTGGAACTGCACATGTGAATCTGACAAGGGTGACACTGGCACATCCAGTTCCATGAGTAGCAGGAAAACTGCCCCACAGAGACACCAGCTCCAGGTGTCGGTGATTCCTGTGTTCAGTGGACAATATCCTGATGTTGTTGGGCTTCTCAGTTCTGTTCCTAGCTATGAATGCTCAGATTCTGTTCATTGGCTTTTTCCAAAACAAAATAATCTCCAACCCTCCAATATCACATATTAAAGTCTTTTGTGTTTAAGTGATACAAAATTTGGATTCTATTGTTTATACCTAAAGGTAAGAAAGAAGCCTGGGAAATTTTCAGATAGCAGTTAGTTAGAGACTCTGTGTAATTGCTTTCTGTATTTTCTATCTGAGGCCACACCTCAGGGGAGGGAAAACAATATGTACCTGTCACCATGACAACTCTGGACTGATAATGTATATTGTCCCCTTTCTTTCTCATCCCCCCAAATGAAATGCCCAAATAAAACTCTTTTCCATCATGGATGATGTTCTCACCACTAACATCAATGGCCATAAATCTTGTTCCAAAATACTCAGAACTGTTTGTAGATCCCTCATTTAGATGCTCAGTATGTAGCCCAGGTCTCACATTTCCTTGTTCTGTTTCTCTGTTAACAGCATCTCACACTGTATCCCGCCCTGGCTTGGAACTCACTATGTAGCTGTGATGGCTGAGCCTCATTGTCAACTTGACTGGACTTAGAGTCTCCTGGGAGATTCAGTTCTGGTCACACATGTAAGAGTGTTTCCTGGTGTTAAGGATGGAAGGACCACCCTGGGCCCAGGGATAAAAGCAAGCACAGGAGAAACTGAGGTCCTTATGTTCTATGTCCTGATCTACTGAAGTTTGAGGAAGCCCAGCCACATGCCCCTGCTGCTGTCTATACCACCATACCTTATGCTGATATTGCCTGTACCCTCTTAAGTCATAGAACAGAATAAATCTTTCTTCCTTTAAGTTGCCTCCGCTGGTTCTTTTGTCACACAATGAAAAGAGTAATTAATAAAAATCTGTATTGGTTTTGAAGTACCTGCAATCCTCTTTCCCTGGCCTAGAGTGTTACACTCACATATATGAGCCACCATACCAGGCAGCAGGAATTTTCATGTTTCCTGCCATAAGTGAGTCTGATGCATAGCCTACAGGCTCCTTGTCTACATCCTTGCATTTCCATGATCTTAGTAACAGCAGCCTCTGCCCCCACTTTGTTATAAATACAGAGATTCCTGGCTCTTTTCCAGACTCCATCTTCGGTGTTTTTTTTGGGGGGGGGGAGGATTCTTTCAACTTTTTGTTTGTTTGTTTGTTTGTTTGTTTGTTTGTTTGTTGAAACACTCTCACTAGGTAGCTGTAGCTGACCTGGAACTTACTATACATGAAGACCAACCTGGCCTTGAACTCAGAGAGTTCCTATGAGAGGAGGAAGCTATCTTTGTCCGGAGTGCCGGGATTAAAGCCTGTGTCATCAAGTCTGGCTTTTGTTCTTGTTGAGATTTACAGAGGATTTCTGTGTACAGGAAAGTAGGGTCTCCTGGTCTATGTATCTTCTAAACACGTGCCCAGAGCTGCACTGTCTGTTCTAGGTGTGTGCTTTGATGAGATCACTGAGAATTGGAGGGGTCAAGATCAGTCCTGTTCTCTTTCTCATTTACAATCAACATTCCTAGGTGATTTTATTCATCACCAACGTTTTAAATACCATCCAACACCACTCCCAAATAAATTTCTCTAGCCCAGACAAGTCTCATCTCCAGGCTTTTCTGTCCCAACTGTGTATCTGGGGGGGGGGGCTTTATGTGTATTTCCCTGACTGCAGACAGCAAATCTTTTCTGCTACTTGTACAATACTAAATTTTTGGTATCATCTTTACTACATTTTATATTCCACATTTAATTGAGTAGGAAATATTGTAATGTCCATGTTTTAAATGAATTCAACATTCAATTTCTTGGCACTGTTTCTCTGCTCACACCCTAAAGAAAAGTAACCTGTGTCCTTTGCCTAAACTACTAAATGAATTTCCAATTGCTTCCTCCATTGTCTTGCTTGCTGCCCACAAATTCACTCAGTTCTCACCCAGAATGATGGTTTTGGTGTTTTCTTTGTTTTTGAAACACAGTCTGTGAAGCTGAATTTGTAGACTTGTGTGTCTGCCCCACCCTGATTTATCACTTCCTCTCTCTCAGCCCAGCACTATCACTTCCTGTCTCCTGTCTGTACAGACTTCTATGGTAAACTGGTGGCTAGCTTCAGTCTCTGGTCTTCTGGCAAGCTTTACTTGTTCGAGTATAAACAAGATATCACTACAATATAATATGCTTAAGCTTAGCCTTAAGCATTGATTGTCTGAATCATAATAAAACAAAGAGGAGGGAAATAGAAGATAATAAGATGTATTTACTTTGCATTTATGTGTATTTGTGTATATCTCTGTGTGAGTATGTACACACCTCTGAAAATGCCCTTAATGTCCAGATTCTTGGATCCTTGGAGTCCCTAGAGATGGTTATAAGCCACTCAACATGGGTGTGGGAGCACTCTCCAAGTGCTCTTAACTACTGAATCATTTCCATAGCCCCTGCTTCTTCTTCTTCCTGATTACTGAGTTTGCACCACCACACCAAGTTTTATGGGATGGTGGTCAAACCCAGGTCGTCCATGACAGGCAAGCACTCTGCTGAGTTAAAACTCCTGCTCCAGTTTCTTACTGTGTAGTACAGATGCCCTGAAACTCCCCACAGTCTTCCTGTCTCAGGCTCCTGAGTGCAGACATTAGAGGTGTGAGACACTAGGCCTGGCACAACAGCAAAACTCTATCAAAGAATCTGACTCCCCTTGTTGTGTGAACCACAGAGTTTGCTTTATTAAATGTTTACAGGTGTTATAAAAAGTAGGTCAGTGGAAGAGAAACTGATTTGCCTTTAAGTTTAATTTACTTATTGTGTATACAGTGTTCAATCTGCATGTATGCCTGCACACCAGAAGAGGGCATCAAATCTCATTACAGATGGCTTTGAGCCACCACGTGGTTGCTGGGAATTGAACTCAGGACCTCTGGGAAAGCAGCCATTGCTCTTAACCTCTGAGCCATCTCTCCTGCCCCTGACTTGCCTTTAAAAGAGAGAATATAGTATATGCCATGTGGGAAAACAATCTTAATTATACCCCAGTACTACTCACATCTAAAGCAGATTAGGAACTGGTTACAAAAATTATGACTGCCACAACTTCTCTTATCATGTGCCAGACTTGTAGGTACTAGTTATTTTATGAGGACCCCCTTCCCTCATAATCAGCAGCTTAGAAAATCAAGAACGCATGAAGAAGGAGAATGGGAAGAAGGAGGAGGAGGAGAAAGAAGAGAACTGGAAGATATTCAAGATGGGGATGGAGATGCAGGTGAAGAAGATGAAGGTGATGATGAAGAAAAAAGGAGAGGAGGATGAAGAAGATGGCAAATAAAAAAGAACACCAACCAATTCCAATATTTTTCTTTTTCTTTTTTTTATTATCTCCAATCTCTAGGAATGAATTATAGTTATTTCTCCCCTGTTCCTCTTGTGTTCACTGGCCTATTTTTGAGAATCCTATCTCAACACTATGGTTTTCAACTTTTTTTGGAAAAATACCTTGAGCAAAATAAAATAGAAAAAGAAACTCCACCTCTACGGGAAGAAGCCTGCCAGCATCCGGGACAGATCTTTGCTACACACCATATCATCTACTTTAGTCCCATCCATTGTTCCAAAAGAAAACAATTTTCAAACTCATGTGTTCTCTGGGCTAAACAGAGCCATTCACAGGTTCTACAAGAGCACCTACGTTCTCTAAAAAACAAAAAAACTCATTTACTATTCCATGACATTCTGCATTCTTTTCCTCTCACACACACACACACAAATGATGCAGTTCAGTCTGTTCCTCAAATCCTGGAAGCCCTCCTGCCTCAGCCGCTTGAGTAGTGGAAATAATCCATGTGCCTCCAAGACTAACAAAAGCCAATAGCATTTGAGGCTATATAGAACCCACGAAGTTACTTAATTACAAGAGGTGCATAACATCAAAAATACTTTTATGCTTCTCAGATTTACTTCCCATATTCACTGTAGTGTCCTTGACCGTGAGTTAATCTGTTGACACCTTAGACTGAATGACTGCGAAAAAATTCATTAGGGATTACTTCATTCTTTACCACCTCTAGTCACTTGGAGAATATAAGAGCATTCTCACTTCTCAAGTATTTTTTTTTTAGGTCAAAGTATCAAGGGACTGAAGAGATGCTTCCCTGGTTAAGAGTGCTCGATGCTCTTGTAGATGACCCTAGTTCAGATTCTAGCACCCAGATCACTAACACCTGTAATTCCAGTTCTAGGGAACTGACTCCCTCTTATGTCATTCATGACATCCTCACAGATGTCGCGTCATACATTCTCACAGATACACACACACACACACACACACACACACACACACACACACACACAAATAAAACTCCTTTAAAATGTCAGTGTCATGTAGCTTAAGCTGACTTTAAACTCATGTCAAACCACTTGCCTCAGCACAGCCTCCTAATGTTGGGAGTTTATATGTCGGATTTAAGCCACAAAAATTTTGAGGTACTTACAATGTGTAAACACAGACGAGAAATACTGCACCAAAACATTCCGAATTTCAACATACCTCCTGAACAGGACTCAGAACAGAAGTGACAAAGAGCACAATTACAGGAGGAAATGCTCTCCATAAGTCCCTGGTCTGAGGTTTTGTCCTCAAGGAGTCTGAGGTGGGGAAGCCATAGGTTGGGAATTCCCTCATCACCCCAGAATTCCTTTCGGTAGTTTACAACCCGTGTCAGCTGTCCTGTCCTTCCATCTAGACGCATGTCCTCACTCCCACTGCACCTCAGAATTCTGGAGAAAGCCACTCACAGTCACTGTGGTATCTCCCCACAAACCACGATGCTATAAACGCCACAGAAAGGGAACAAAGTCTCAATGCCTCCAAGTTTTCCAGACACCAAGGATGGGGGCTGCAGCACAGCCTGCCACCCTCCTGCTGCTGTCACTACTCCAGGCTCTGACCTGGACCAAGACCCTGAGTGGAGCTGGTGGTGAGTGCGGATCAGGAGAGATCCAGCCTTTGCTGGGAGAAGCCAGGGCAACTCGCCTGAGCAGCATCTCAAAAGGCTTTTCTCATCACCCACCCAGATTTTCTGCCAGCTTTCTGAGCCCTGTGCCCTGATCATCTCCTGGCCAGCACACCTGGCCAGGGTTCTGGAAGGATGGTCAGGGTCTCACTGAGCATTGCCCTCAGGCTCACACTCCATGAGGTATTTCGTAACCACCACCGCATCTGTAAAGGGTCTCCGAGATCCCCAAGTCTTTATCGTTGGCTTTGTGGACGACACTCAATTCCTGCGCTTCGACAGTGAAGCAGCTACTAAAGTGGAGCCCCGCGTGCCTTGGGCGAAGCAGATGGGGGCCAGTTATTGGAAGTGGGAGAGAAAGGGTATGGAACATTATTCACACACGGCCAGAGAAAACCTACGATTTGCACTCCAGATCTATAACCAGAGCGATGACGGTGAGTGACCCCTACACGTCCCCACGGACGAGCCAAAACACCCCGGGTCGCAGGTTCTAGGTTTGGTTCCAGGCTGCCATGACAGCAGACACCCTGGACCAGGGAGAGCATCAGACTGAATCCGAGTTTCCGGGTCAGTTCAGGTGGAAATTCTGTGGGTGGGTGGGGCCTTGCAGACCAGGCTAACTTTCAGGGCGGTGTCAGGCTCTCATACCTTCCAGTGTTTGATTGGTTGTGACGTGAGTCCTGACAGACTCTTCCTCCGCGGGCACAACAGACACGGCTTTGATGGCCGCGATTACATCAGCCTGAACGAGGACCTGAGAACTTGGAGTGTGGCCGACAACACAGCTCAGATTACCCAGCGAGAGTGGGAGGCAAAAAAAGTAGCAGAACACTGGAGGATCTTCTTTGAGGGCTGGTGCTTTGCTTGGCTACTCTGGCACCTGGAGCTAGGGAAGGAGATTCTGCAGCGCTCAGGTAAGGGGCTGAGAAGCAATTCCTCCATCTGCACTCAAAATAGGGCGCCTGCCTCCAAAGAGGGAGGAAAACAGCACCAGCTGAACTACTGTTGCTCTCTTGTAAACTGAAGGGAAGGAGCGCTTCTGATTTTCCTGACCCCACTTCAGAGAGTGACTCTCCAAGAGCTCACCCTTCTCTCAGGACAGTTTAGGTTCTCTTTGGATGATAAGAACATCCCTGAAATAACCAACAGCCACCCCTTACGGTCTGCAGCCTGCAGTGAACCATGACCTCCCAGAGGCTGAGTTCTCTGCCCACATCCAATGTCTTTGGAGGTCTGACTCGAGTTCTCGCATCCCTCCACCCAAGGCAGGGCCAGAAATTCTCTTGTCATGGTGGGAAACTAGGGAATCTTCCTTTTTGAAGAAATAGATTATACTAGTACCTGAGTGTAGACAACTTTGTGGGATTTGAACTGCCTCTCCCCATCTTGATTCTCCTGTGCATTGACAGGATAGGCATGTGAATTCCACTTAAGTCCCCAGAAAAAAAAGATTATAAGTGCTTGAATTTTCTAACTCTTCTCCTCAGATCCTCCCAGGGCACATGTAACCCGTCACCCTAGACCTGAAGGTGATGTCACCTTGAAGTGCTGGGCCCTTGGATTCTACCCAGCTGAGATCACCCTGTCCTGGCAGAGGGATGGGAGAAACCAGAATCTGGACGTAGAGGCGATACAGACCAGACCTGCAGGAGATGGCACCTTCCAGAAGTGGGCAGCTGTGGTGGTGCCTCCTGGGGAGGAGCAGAGATACACATGTCATGTGGATCATGAGGGGCTGCCTGAGCCCCTCACCCTGAGATGGGGTAAGGAGGGATGTGATCACAGAGCCTGTTGTTAAGAAAAAAGGTGACCTTCTGGAAATCCTAAGAAGGATTAGTGTTGAGGTGGGATTTATCAATTCTACTCTCTCTTCCCAGAGCCCCCTCATTGGCCCACAATTGGAATGATTGTTGGTGTGGTTCTCCTTGGAGTTGTGGTCACTGGAGCTGTGGCTGCCATTGTGATGAGGAGGAGGAAACGTGCAGGTAGGGAATGGATTAGTGTCTGAGGGTTTTGTATAGTGTTGAAGCCCTAGATGAAAAGGTGTTCATCTTCTGTTTTGTTACTATGAGACACACCTGTGTGTGAGTTCTTACCTAATTTGGGACTCAGTGTGCTAGAAAAAAGAATTTTAAGGAAATGTCTTTTTACATAGCCCTGGCTGTCCTGGAACTTACTGTGTAGACCAAACTGAACTCAAACTCAGAGACTCAGCTGTCTCTGCCTCACAAGTACAAGGATGAAAGTGTGTGCCATCATGCCCAGTAGTTGCTCTATCATTATCTAACGTCTAGGGCTATAGGAGTAATCTAGAACATCCTGGATCTCTATCCTGGATCTCTATCCTGGATCTCTACTATTCCCCCCCAAACACACCTCAATGTAGTTACTCAGATAACATCACCAGGAATCTACTTTTATCATTGTATTACCAACCTTTTCCATCTTGTACCAGCTCTTGAACTCTCCATACACATTAAGAGAATACCTAGGTGTAGAGATAGGAAACAGACAACAAGTCTCCCATCACTCTCCCTTTCCCAAACATTCCTGCAGCCGGCACCACAGGAGACCTCAGATCCACCAGTTAAGTGACCTCATGCTGGGCCTTCACTCAGCCCACGGAGATGGGAAAACCTGGAACTGCACATGTGAATCTGACAAGGGTGACACTGGCACATCCAGTTCCACGAGTAGCAGGAAAACTGCCCCACAGAGACACCAGCTCCAGGTGTGGGTGATTCCTGTGCTCAGTGGATCTTGTGGGACCTGATGTTGATGGGCTTGTTGTCAATTCTGTTCCTAGTTGTGGATGCTCAGATTCGGCTCATTGGCTTTTTCCAAAACAAAATAATAACCAACCTTTCAATATCACACATTAAAGTCCTTTGTTTTTAAGTGATACAAAATTTGGATTCTATTGTTTATACCTAAAGGTAAGAAAGAAGCCTGGGGAATTTTCAGATAGCAGTCAGTTAGAGACTCTGTGTAATTTGCTTTCTGTATTTTCTATCTGAGGCCACACCTCAGGGGAGGGAAAACAATATGTACCTGTCACCATGACAACTCAGGACTGATAATGTATATTGTCCCCTTTCTTTCTCATCCCCCCAAATGGAATACCCATATAAAACCCTTTTCCATCATGGATGATGTTCTCACCACTAACATCAATGGCCATAAATCTTGTTCCAAAATACTCAGAACTGTTTGTAGATCCCTCATTTAGATGCTCAGTATGTAGCCCAGGTCTCACATTTCCTTGTTCTGTTTCTCTGTTAACAGCATCTCACACTGTATCCCGCCCTGGCTTGGAACTCACTATGTAGCTGTGATGGCTGAGCCTCATTGTCAACTTGACTGGACTTAGAATCTCCTGGGAGATTCAGTTCTGGTCACACATGTAAGAGTGTTTCCTGGTGTTAAGGATGGAAGGCTCACCCTGAGCCAATGATAAAAGCAAGCACAGGAGAAACTCAGGTCTCTTTATGTTCTATGTCCTGATCTACTGAAGTTTGAAGAAGCCCAGCCACATGCCCCTGCTGCCACCTACTCCACCATGCCTTATGTTGAGATTGACTGTACCCTCTTAAATCATGGAACAGAATAAATCTTTCTTCCTTTAAATTGCCTTGGCTGGATCATTTGTCACACGACGAAAAAAAGTAATTAATAAAAATCCATATGGGTTTTGAAGTACCTGCAATCCTCTTTCCCTAGCCTAGAGTGTTATACTTACATATATGAGCCACCATTCCTGGCAGCAGGAATTTTCATGTTACCTGCCATAAGTGAATCTGATGCATAGCCTACAGGCTCCTTGTCTACATCCTTGCATTTCCATGATCTCTGTCCCCACTTTGTTATAAACACAGAGATTCCTGGCTCTTTTCCAGACTCCATCTTCGTTTTGTTTTTATTTGGGGGGTTTTGTTTCAACTTTTTGTTTGTTTGTTTGCTTGTTTGTTTGTTGAAACAGTCTCACTACGTAGCTGTGGTTGACCTTGGAACTTGCTATACACGAATACCAAGCTGGCCTTGAACTCAGAGAGTTCCTATGAGAGGAAGCAGCTATCTCTCTCCAGAGTGCCAGGATTAAAGCCTGTGTCTTTAAATCCTAATTTTTTCATGAATCTTGTTGAGATGTCTAGAGGATTCCTGTGTACAGGAAAGTAGGGTCTCCCTGGTCTATGGGTGGGCCTTCTAGACACGTGCCCAGAGCTACACAGTCTGTTCTAGGTGTGTGCTTTGATGAGATTACTGAGAATTGGAGGGGTCAAGATCAGTCCTGTTCTCTTTCTCATTTACAATTAACATTCCTTTGGTGATTTTATTCATCACCAAGGTTTTAAATACTATCTAACACCACTCCCAAATTAATTTCTCCAGCCCAGACAAGTCTCATCTCCAGGCTTACCTGTCAATCTGGGGTCTTTAAGTTTAATTTACTTATTGTGTATACAGTGTTCAATCTGCACATATGCCTATGCACCAGAAGGGGGCACCAAATCTCATTATAGATGGTTGTGAGCCACCATGTGGTTTCTGGGAATTGAACTCAGGACTTCTGGAAGAGCAGCCAGTGCTCTTAACATCTGAGCCATCTCTCCTGCCCCTGACTTGTCTTTAAATGAATGAACATAGTATATGCCATGTGGGAAAACAATCTTAATTGTACCCCAGTACTACTCACATCTAAAGCAGCTTAGGAACTGGTTACGGAAATTATGACTCCCACAACTGACCTTTTTTCTTTTGCTATGTGCCAGACTGCTAGGTAGCTGGTTATTTTAGTAGGACCCCCTTCCCTCATAATCAGCAGCTTAGAAAACCAAGGACTGGTGATGAAGGAGAATGGGAAGGAGGAGGAAGAGGAGAAAGGAGAGGACTGGAAGATATTCAAGATGGGGATGGAGATGCAGGTAAAGAAGATGAAGGTGATGATGAAGACAAGAAAGGAGAGGATGATGATGAAGGACCTGGCAAATGCAAAAAAAAAAACCCACACTAATTAATTGCAATCTTTTTTCATTTTCTCCAATCCCTGGAAGAGAGTTGTAATTATTTCTCCCCTGTCCCTATTATGCTCACTTGCCTATTTTTGAGATTCTTTTCCTCCACACCATGGTTTTCAACTTTTTTTGTTTTTGGGAAAATACCTTGAGCAAATAAAATAGAAAACGAATTTCCTCCTTTCTGTTCTAAATTCATTTTTATCTCTTCTTGTCCCAGACTTTGGAATCAACATCACCACTGTGCTCTGTGGGGGGAGGAAACCCTTCAGTTTCTTTCACTGTGCCAGATGCTGGAGGGTTACTCTGCCCTGTAAAGTAGTGTATAGAATTATAGCTCATTTTTTCTTACTTTCTGCATAATCGGCTCAGAGATTATACTGTCTCCATGTGAATATGGACAGTTAGCATTTACCAACATTAATCTATGTACTTCTTTTGTTTAATAAAAAAATTAAAGGTGGGCACAGAAGGTCAGCAAAGGGTGGATTTGAGATGCCTGGATGGATTAAGTGGACATTTTGTGATCACATGGCTTCTCCTTCACCATGTTTAACTGTCCTGTTTAACAGCTATCATTTCATTTTAAGATGACACTTAAAATAAAATTCTCTCCTAATGATGACTTGAGCCCTGCCCCTTCATGTGAGACTCAGCAGAACTCCTAGGTTTTTACTTGGAATTGACATTCTCCATTGTAATTGCTTCTTTTCACTGGAAAGAGAACAAAAGATGCTCAGTTTTAAACATTAAAAGTGCACAAGTTACTTTGTTACAATAAAATAAAACATCGTGTGTGTGTGTGTGTGTGTGTGTGTGTGTGTGTGTGTGTGTGTAGATGTGCCAAAAAACTAAACAAAGACTGGAACTGAAAGACTCTAATTTCTAGTCAGAAATGAGACCTTAGTCATCTCTCTGGCTGGGAGGAGAAGAGACACCTGACTTGCCTGGAAAGACCTTTAGCTAAAAGCTATCTAAACCTGGTGGTTTTAATGAGATTGGCCCCATAGACTCATATGCTTAAATATTGATTCCTTATTTGGTAGAGTTGTTTTATAAGGATTAGGATGTTTCAAAGGCCCATACCAGGCCTAGCCTTTCTCTGCGCCCCTCTCTCTGCCTCTCTTTCTGCCCCATCTCTCTCTGACTCCAACTTGTGGGTTAGATGTAAGATGTCAGCTAGCACTCCATGCCTTTTTGCTTGCTTCCTGCCATAATGGCCATGAACTCACTCTCTGAAACTCTAAACCCCCAATTAAATGTTTTCTAAGTTGCCCTGGTCATGGTATCTCTTCACAGCAATAAACACAGCAATAAACATCAGCTAAGACAGAGGAGAAGTGGAATTTGAATTGCCTGGAAGACCTTTAATTGAAAACTACTTACACCTGGTTCCTGGTTTCTTGTGAGTTTATTGCATAGCAGAAGGTTTTCTGATAAAGACAGACTTACAGTTGTCCCTCCTGTAAGGGTCAAACCACTGGCCTGTCGACCACTTCAATGTGAAAACATTCTCAGCAATTCTGCTAGCTTTAGTAAAAAAGTACCAAGTGGTGCAATGATTCCTTTGCTTTGGCCATTGCCTACTCTCATCCTCTACTCTGCAAATCTGATTTTCTTTTTTTTTTTTTGGCATCACAAAAACTAATAATCTAAATTGAGTCATTGAGTCCAGAGTGAGATCCTAGTAATAGGAACAATCCTGGGTCTTGCCGTGTTTGGTGGCCTAAATCTTTAATCCCAGAACTCAGGAGTCAGAGGCAGGTCTGCCTGGTCTACAAAGTGAGCTCCAGGATACCTAGGGCTGTTTCAAAAAACAATCCCCCCAACTCAAAAAAAGAACAATCTTGTGTCATCACTTAACATCCACCATGACCTTTTAGATTCTGAATCACTAGTAAATCTGTTTAATGTCACTGTGTAATATAATGAGGAAATGTTTCTGCTCGACAACCTTGTACCAAACCTCAAACTTCCTACTTTTTTCTTTAAAAAAAAAAGATTTATAGTAATTTTTACTTTTAGTCATGTGTTATTCTTTTCAGGGGTATACGAACATGAGTGCAGGTGCCCATGGAGGCCAGAGGAGTTGGATCCCTAGAAATGAAGTTTCATGTAGGTGTGAGCCACCCAATGTGGGGGCTGAGAACAAGACTATATAAGTAGCATGCACTCTTAACTGTGGACCTATCTCTTCATCCCATATTTCCTACTTTCTTTCCTTCATGGAAATCTATCTAGATTCAAAACTCTAAAGAGAATGGCATCTCACAGAAGTTCCACCAAACTGTAGGCTTCAGAAGTCAAGCAGCTCTTTGCTTCTCCAGTCCATCCAGTTGAGTCCCATGTTGATTGGACCCATATATATATGTATGTATGTATGTATGTATGTATGTATGTATATGTATATGTATATGGCATGCTCCAATGCCTGAGTGCAAGTATAGTGGTGTCAGCTGCCATCTGCCTTAGTTAGGGTTTCTATGGCTGTGAAGAGATCCCTATGACCATGGCCACGCTTATAAAGGAAAACATTTCACTGGAGCTGGCTTACAGTTTCAGAGGTTGAGTCCATTATGTCATGGCAGGAAGCAGGGTGGCATGTAGTAATGCATGATGCTGGAGAAGGAGCTGAGAGTTCTATACATTGATTCACAGGGAGCAGGAAAAGACTGAGCCACTAGGCCTTTCTTGAGTGTCTGAGACCTCAAAGTCTGCTCCCACAGTGACACACTTCCTCCAGCAAGGCAACATCTATCTACTCCAGCAAAGCCACACCTCCTAATATAGCGCAACTCCCTATGGGCCCATGGAGGCCATTTTTATTCAAACCACCACACCACCCTAACTGACAAATTCTCTCACTTACACTAGGATCTACATTCACTCTAATGTTCTTCACGATTGTCTGAGTCCTTGTAACTTCACAAGACACAGCATCTGTATGTCAGTAGACCACTGTCAACAAGGCCTATGACAAATACTCCCATTATCTTGTGTCACTTTACATCCAGTGATATATTTACTCGTCCTTAGTAAACTGAGATCCCCTTCCTCATCACAGTATTTGCATCAAGAAGAAATCAGTCTAGGGAACTTTCAGATAGCAACCATTCAGGGGATTTCCTTGTGTTAATTGCTTGTGGTATCTTACATCTGAAGCTAAACCCAAAGGAAAAGAAAACAGTGTGTATCCCTTGACATCACAACTCAGGACTAATGATATTTGTCCTCCCTTTCTTTCTCAGGCAAAAAAAAAATCAAACTCAGAGATCAGCCTGCCCTGCCTCCTGAGTGCTGGGATTAAAGGCAGGCATCACAATGCCCTGTTGGCCTTGAACCCACTATGTAGCTGTGATAGTTACTCTTGTCAGCTTGGCTGGACTTAGAATCCCCTAGGAGATGTAATTCTGGGTGTCTGTGAGGATTAACTAGGGTGAGAAGATGCAACCCAAGAAGAAAGCCAAATGAGAAGCAGCATCCACACTTCCTGTTTCACTATCGTCTGAGATTTGAGGCATCCCAGCCACATGCTCCAGTTGTCATAAGCTCAACCATACTCTCTGTCATGAAGGATGGTACCCTCAAATCAGGAAACAAGACAAATTCTTCTTT